TACCCATCTGAAATGGTTAACATGAACTGTATCATATATATGTATTATACAAATTACTATTAAATCAAAATATACTAAGATACTAAGATACTGTAGGTCTACTAGATATTCACCGACACCTAAGAATAAATATTTTTTTTCAAAAGTATTTATTTTAAAGTACATAATATCTTAATGTGAAAGAAGTGTCAAGAGGTAATATATACTTATTATTTATAGATATATTAAAGCCATTATAAAATGATTATATATTAGAATATTTTCACAATAATAACAAATTTGCCCAAAGTTATTACTAAAGGACCATTTGCAAGATTAGATTCTTCTGGGACAACAACAAAAGTCCTAAGTGGCTTAAACAAGTAGAAGTTTATTTTTCTTACATAAACATAGCGCTCCTAGAAGTGTTAGGGTGATTTTCATGGATCTCAGCTGCTTCTGTCTTATTCTGTTATCCCTATTACCCAGCTTCTGCCTCATGATCTAATATGGCGATTTCAGTGAAGCCATCTTTCTGCATTGCAGCAAGCAGGAAAAGGGTAAAGGAAATGGAAGAGCTTCCCTTTTAAAAATACTTCCTAGAATCTCAACATACCAATTCTGATTCACATCTCATTGGCCAGATCTTACGCTCATGGGCACATGTAACTACAAGGAAGGCTGAGAAATTTAGATTTTTACACTAGGCAGCTCTGTGCCTGTCTAGTATTCAGGGTCTTATTATTAACAGAAACAGGTATTAGTGTATAATCACCAGTCTCTGCACCACAAGGCTTTTGAACAATAGGGTGAAGAAATTGGTTTTACAATAATGTATTTTTATCTGATTAAAGTGTGTTATCTAATATACTGTAAAAAATTCTATGACTTTTTTTAATAGCTGAATTTTTTCTATAGCTATACATACCTTCTTTTGTATTATGTTATTAACTAGGAAGTCATTGTAACATAGTAATTAGGAATATGGCACCAAACTGTCAGGGTTTGAGTCCTATCAGAGCCGTCTGTCAGTGGTGAACCTTGGGCAAGTTATTTCATCTTTTGTGCAATAGAGTCTGTCTTCAAATAGGAAGATAGTAATACCTAACTCAAAGGGTTAAAGAACTGGCTGTAAATAACTTAGAAAAGCTCCTGGCACGAGCCCTTAAATGTTAGTTGTTGTTATCAATTCGAAAGTTCTTAGTAAAAAGTAGTTGTAATACTATCCTAAGTAAAATATAACTGTGAAAGTTAACTTGTAAAGTGTATTAATAGTTTCACTGAAGTAGAGGAAAAGTAGTTGGATAGTTTTAAATAGACTAAATTTGTTTCTTTCATTTGGAGTTAACTATTTTATTAGTTATGTTGAGAGATTTTTCTCTTTGGAGATCTATATTTTAGAACTTATATACAAGTACATACCTATTTGTAAAATCTTTTTAACTTTCCACATATAGTATACCTTTTAAGTCACTTCAGAGCCAATAAGTCAAAAATTATTAGCAATGAAAATATCTTGTTACCTGTGTCTTGGGATAAATAAAGTGAACAATGAATCTGATAGAGGGTAAATATGTAGCAATTGAAAGTTGACTGTTTTTGTTTGTTTGTTTGTGTTTTTTGAAGTGGAGCAAGGCTTAAGGCTTTGTTCAGTTTACTTTTCTAACAAATCTTGCCTGAATACCTGGACTTGGTTAAATACTCGTGTGTGTGTGTGTGTGTGTGTGTGTGTTTGTTTTTTATCCTCACTCGAGGACATTTTTCCATTTTTTGTTCAGGTAGAGTGGGAGGAAGAGAGAGAGAGAGAAACATCGACATGAAAGGGACACATCGAGTGGCTGCCACCCGCACGACCAACCAGGGCCGGGGACTAACTGCAACCGAGGTACATGCCCTTAGCGGGAACCGAACTCCACTCTCTCTGGACCGCAGGCCGATGCTTTAACCGCTGAGCCAAACCGGCCAGGGCTTTTGTGTTTTTTTTATATAGCATACTGTAGGTAATTCATTTCACAATCAGCGTATTTTATGGAAATTGCATATTTGTGTCTGTCTTTACTACATCATAATCAGAGACTGTATCTTACTCATATTTGTATTATCAGCCTCCTACACACTGTCAATACAAAGGACTTAATAAACTTGTTATACTGAAAGTATAACAAGTAGTAACACAAGTTGCTACTTTCATAGTTTTGATTTTCAGTCTCAAGTCGGAAATAACAGTAATTTTGTTTGTGGTTTTTAAACTGTTCTCTAAATTTGCTCATCTGCAACAAGATGTTTAGAAATAAGCATATTTCCAGAGTAAGCTGTAATACCTCAGTAGCTCAAAGTAATGCCCGATGGTATTGAAATCCTGTGTAGCAAAGCTCTGCTTCCCAAACTCCTTGTATCTTGTGCCTTCTGTACATACTTAGGTATCACAACAGTAAACGTATTTCTATGTTGTTAGAGAATGACAACTTTATTTAAGAGATCATTTAGTTAATGTCATACTGAATGAAACTCAGGAGTAAATAGGAAGTGATAAATTGTCCTTTGAAGCACAGTAATATTTATTTTGTTTATATTGAATCTGAAAACAAAATGTACTATAGTAAAATTAGAGCTCCAATGAAGTGTGTGTGTGTGTGTATGTATAGGTATGTTTTTATATCTATACATCTATTTAATATATATGTGTTCTAATGTGAAAATTGGATTATCTTGCCTCTTGCTTTTACATTCATAGATAATCAAATTATTTAACTTCATAAAAGAAGTCAAAGACGGACTGTCTTGTATGAAATATTTGGACAGAATAAAGGGCCCTAGAAATGTAGAGTACTGGTAGAGGTGGTCAAGGAATGCAGTTAGTCTGTACATCGTACTACTCATGTCCAATCCATTCAGATATTTATTGGTCACCTTTCTGGTGGCAATACGTTATGTGCTATCATAATGTCTTTTTAAAGGGACTGTGCTGAAAGTTACTAAAATGCAATCTCACAGACATTTAATTTTTAGCGGATTTCTAAATGAATTTTATTGTCTTTCAAATAGTCTCAGATTTAGGCATTAAAGAAAAGTCCTATATTTTAATGGACTAAAATCAGTGATTTTCCTCGCTGTTGGCATTTCAAGAGACAAGTGTTAGAATGTAAAAATTACATTATGTAATTATATAATACTGTTGTCCTTTCTGTATTTAGTAATGCAAAACTCCTAAATGAAGAATGACTCAAAGGAAATACTGTGCTACTATGCTCTTAAGCCTTAATATTTTTATTTTTATAGCATTTATAAACTTTGAACAAGTTAGATTTCCTATAACATTTGTTTTTTTATTAATTAATTATTTTTGTTATGGATGTTTCTTCTTTTTCCCCCATTGACACCCTCCTCCCAATCCCCCCACCCCCAGCATTATTGTCTATGTCCTTGTTTACACATATATGCATGTAAGTTTTGTGGTGTATCTCTTCACTCCCAACGTCCACCTCTTCTGAGGTTTGTCAATCTGCACCCCATGTCCATGTCTCTAAGTCTATTTTATTCCTAGCTTATTTTATTCATTATATTTCACAAATAAGAGACGTGATATTTGTCTTTTTCTGATTGGCTACTTTTGCTTAGGATAATACTCTTCGGGTCCCTCCATGTTGTCTCAAAGAATAAGAGATCTTTCTTTCTTACACCTGCATAGTATTCCATTGTGCATAATTACCACAGCCTTTTTATCCTCATCTATTGATGGATACTTGGGCTGTTTCCAGATCTTAGCAATTGTAAATAGTGTTGCTGTGAACATAGAGGTATCTATATTCTTTCTGATTGGTGTTTCAGGCTCCTTAAAGTATAATTCAAAATGGATGAAAAACCAGTGTAACTCATGAATCCATAAAAATCCCAGAAGAAAATGCAGGCAACAAAATTTCAGACGTCACACACAGCAGAATTTTCACTGATACAATGCCTAAGGCAATAGAAACAAAGGAAAAATGAACACATGGGACTACATCAAACTAAAAAGCATCTGCACAGCAAAAGAAACAATCATCAAAATGGAAAGGGAACCCACTATATGGGAGAGCATAAATGCCAACGATACATCAGATAAGGGGCTAATTTCCAAAATATATAGAGTATTCACACAACTCAACAAAAGGAAGACAAAGAACCCAATTAAAAAATGGAGAGAGGATCTAAATAGACACCTCTCCAAACAGGACATACAAATGGCCAAGAGACATGAAAAAATGCTCAATGTCACTAATCATCAGAGAGATGCAAATTAAAACAGCAATGAGGTATCACCTCACACCTGTCAGAATGGCTGCTATCAACAAATCATCAAATAAGAAGTGCTGGCGAGGGTGTGGAGAAAAGGGGACTCTAGTACACTACTGGTGGGAATGCAGACTGGTGCAGCCACTATGGAAAACAGTATGGTGTTTCCTCAAAGAAATAAAAATTGAACTGCCATTTGATCCAATGATCCCATTTCTAGGAATATATCCAATAACATCTGTAATATTACACTGGAGACGTTTTCATTAAACTTCTTTAAATACAACTATATAAAATGATAGTGAATTAAATGGCAAGTCATCATGAATTTTTCCTGCTTACTATTTTAATATTTGGTTGTTTATTTAGAAATAGAAATTGCTTTTCTTCTTATTTTATTTTTGGAAAAAGATAAAATTAAAAACATTGTAATATTAAGAAATTCACACATCCTCTATTATTTTTGAAAAACTAGGATACCTACATTGTTTTTACATTTCAAAACAAATGAACTTTATTCTATAGGTATTGTTCCCAAATCTCATTATGCTCTATGATCTAGGAACTCAGGTTAACTGTTTTTGTTTTCAACTTTCAAAGATAATTTTAATTAATGGACTTTGAATTGAACATTACCTTTTTAGTTAAGAAATACACTGTACTCAGTAATTTTCTCTTTACACCTTTTCTTTTTTCAATTTGCAAATAGCTCAGTAATCTTCATATCTTCTTTTCTTGTCTTTTTAAAGGTCGGTTGAACTACCCCCATCCAGGAACTGACAATCTGTTGATGTTAAATGGTAAGTTGTATAAAAACATTTTATTTTCCAATTGATTTACATAAATAAGATGATTAAATGCCTTTTTCTAAACCTTCCTGATACATACATTAGTCATTGTATAAGTACAAAAATAAATCTACAATTCTTTCTGTACAGAAAGCAGAATTAGGAGTTTGAGTGTATTCTGACTGGGCACAGCAGACATTGAAGTGTGTTTGTGATAGTATTATTTAATTCAATTATCACAGACTTTAGAGACAGTTCTGAGTTTGAATATTGGCTTTCTAGTTTATGGGTGTAACCTTGGTCAGGTAACTTCTGTGAACTTTATTTATTTTCCCATCTGTGAAATGGGAATACAATCTCAAGGTTTATTAGAATTAAATGAGATAATGTTTGCAAAGTACATAGACTTTGTTACTAGTACAGCACTTGTGTTTATGTTCCACTAAGGAATATACTGGTGATTCTGTAAATATGGTGGTGACACTAACTTAATTTATTCTACCTAGAAAGTTTACAATATGAAATTCACTAAAGTTAGAAAAAAATAAATAAGCTTCCATTAAAGTTTGTTTTCTTTCCGTTAGAAAAACATTGTATTCAAAGAGTTATAGTACTTAACACATCCATAACTGTGGGAGTAGACATGGAGTATGAAAATATTCTTCACAAAGGTATTTTTAAATCAAAGGGTGAGTGTTAAGGAAGTAGGAAGAAGTAATAACAGAGATATTTACTTTAAAATACATAATCATATCACTAGAATGGCTTGACTTCTATTTCAACTAAAGCTTTGTTGAAAAAAGATAGCAATGAAGTTGAGGGACAAATGCTGACAAAAAGGTCAATGTAAAGCTAGACCATGTGAACTAATATTAAGTAAAGACTATAGAGGAACAGAAAAATGAGAATAAAGTCCAGGCTACCTGGAAGATTGTCAGGGTGGATAGGATTTTGGAATGGGAGAGCAATTGAAACATTAGGTAAAGTAATTGGTTCATTTGGTGTTTGGCCATTATGTATTGAGTTGCCCACCACACACCAGCTTAGTGTAAGCACTGGGTTATCTATTAGTGAAGATCTCTAAGGACAGCTAGAGTTATAATTGTCAAGCTATTGGCACCGGGGCCATACATTGTATTCTAGGCTGAAGCCATGTCCACATGACCTCACAAGAGTCCAGTAGGTCAAGTTTGTGAATCTAGTGAATCATAGTGTTTACATAGACTTTGACCAGAAAGATACTAGGAGTTACATTCCAGAACTTCATTCAAATGTTTTCCTATCACAGAATTTAAAAAGTCTTATCATTTGAATAGCCAGTCTCTGACATCTAAATCTATGACTAAAACTATATTGTTGAAAGTGAGTTCGCAAAACTGAAAATAGATCATAATTTTTCTTATTCTTGTGGTTTTAATTATAAAATAAAGATAAGTTTAGGTTATAATTATTTATATATTGATTCTTTAAATATTTTTCTTTTGGTACTTTGTGGTAAATAAAGATCATTCACATTTCTATTTTAACTTCTAAAAAAAGCAATTCAGTTGAAAATTTTGAATTGACAAATGTTTCACATATTCTGTCAAAATCCATCTGAGATAATCTGTTAGATCATTCACAGCTGTTCTTAGAATGTTAATTGCATAATAAACTTGGATAATTTAGGAGTATATTGTAATCACATTAGACTACATCAGTTATGTGTGAGCAAAAGGCTTAGCTGCCGAATTGATTTTATCAGTAGTTTAAATCCCATATAAATAATCTAGATTTTAGATTAGAAATGTTTTATCACATAGTAGACACAAGCATAGTTTATTGCAGGAGAGAGTTGCATCTTGTGGAAAAATCTAATTTTTTTTATCATGTGAGCAATCTTCATAGTCTGCCAGTTTTGGGTCAGAATACACATCAGTATAGTAAGCCCTCCTGGAAGTTCTGAACTTTGTCCGGTCAGGGACTGGGTAGATAAAAGATCATGAAACTAGGGCATTAAAATGTGCTTAGGTCAGTAGAGACGATTTGATCCAAAGAGAAAAAAAAGTTTTTGCTCATTTGAGATTATTGGTAAGTTGGAAAGCAAGAATCAGAAAATTGAGTGTATTTATAGGATGAAGAGGTATTTTAATATTTTAAGATTTAAATAATTCTTTGTAGACTTCAAGGTTTACTGAGAGAAGTAGGCAAAGGTCACTAAAAAGTAAGGGAAATTTTTTTTAGCTACTTTTTACCTGCTTGTAATTCAACTATATTCTTAACATATTGTATCCCTGAGAAATTAAATGATGTTAATAACAAGCCTCTACCTATAGTAATTATTAAATATTATCGACTGATTAAAGAAAGTATATCCCCAGGATGCTCGGAGGGTTCCTGGTGTGGACTTGCACTCGCGGGCCTTGCACGGCCTGTCGGGGAGAAAAAGAAAGTGTAGCATCCTCATACATAGAGCTACTTCTTAAATCATTACACTTTTAATATGTCACAGATTTAACTCATTGTTAGGGAATTGATTAAGTTATTTAACCAATAAGCATAGCTAATATTATTGACTTTGAAAATACATTAGTATTATTTTGTAGTGGTTTAACAGTATTTCATAGTAGTTGGTACCACAGACTCTGGAGCCAGATTCTCTGAGTTTCAACTCAAGTTTGCTATTTCTAGTTGTGTGACCTTGGGCAGCTTACCTAACTTCACTGTGACTCAGATTCTTTGTGTCTAAAAGAGAGCGTGCTACCTGCTTTGGGGATTGTTGTGAGGAGTGAATGCTTTCATTCATGTAAAGTATGGATCTGGAACAGTTCCTGGAAGTACAGATCCGCTGTGGCAGTGGGTGATAATGAACAGTGACAAAAATCACTTTGAAAGAGTGAAAAAAATCATGTCCTGTGAATAGGTAAAGGAGTTGGGTGTGTTTACTTTGGATAATATAAAATTAGAGAAGACATAAATGGTATTTTCAGCTATTTGAAAGATGTTACATATAGTGAACAAAGGAGGCTTATTTTATGTTACTGCAGAAAGTCAAACCAGAACCATTCGAAAGAAACTATACAGGGACAAATTTGGGTCAATAAAAGCAAAATGACTCAGGCAGTTTCCTAAAGTATGGTGTGCTTGCCACTGTGTTACCCAAAATGACTTTTGGTGGTGCACAAATACACATTAAAATAAATGCATGACTATTACCAAATTGTAATAGTTCCTTATATTCTTTAGAAATCTGTGATGTTACAGTTGTACCAGGCTTGTGTCCATTTAATAAAAAATAATTTATAAATAGTAGTATAGTTGTTATGCAGATAAAGCAAATATTTTAAAGGTTTTATGATCCTCTCTTCCTAGTTAATGGTCATTATGGTTAAACTTTTAAATATTCCTTTCAGTCAGGGGTGGGGAATGTTGGATACCAGCTAACATCACACGACTCTCCAAATTAGTCTGACCAAATAATAGCAGGCTAATTTTTAAGTTGTTGATTTTTGTATGGCCTGAGAATGATATTATAAATATATCCAAATGGCCCTTGGCAGAAAAAGGGTTCCCCACCTCTGAAAGGGATAAACACTGTATGGGATAAAGGTCAGGAAGTTGGTCAAACTAGATTACCTCTGGTAAATCTTTAACTCTTGAGTCCGATAACTCAGATACAGAAAATGAGATATAATCCCATACCTATATGTGTCATGAAGTTGTATGGATTTATTAAAAATTGTAACAACAAAAAAATACCAAAGAAATGTAACTGCAAGCAGCTCCTACTTCTGAACAGACTGTGTTCCTCAAATTGAGTGGAAATCAAGTTGAATTGACTGGTGGAGACTGCCACTATTGACTAATTCAAATATTGTGGAAGAGTCCAACTTTAACATCTTCAGGCATTTTAGGGAATTCACATTGTATAGGAATGGTAGATTGTCTAAAAATCAAAGGCTAATTACTATCTGAAGTTAGAACAGCAGCTTGAATGTTTATATTTCTGTAAGTGTATAAATCTTACACTTTTTATTCTCAATAGTAAAAACAATACAAAGCAAAACAGAAATACTCTCTTTTTCATACCAGTATGGAACATTCAGGTATCATCCAAGTATTTGTTTCTATGTGGCTTATGTTTTCCTCCTTACCCTCTATCAAGGAAAATATTATTTTTATTAATGCATGTGGTTTTCCAAAAGGAGAGCCAATAGAGCAGAAGTATGGAAGGGTGGTATCAGCAACATAGTTTGAAACTTAAATTTGCAGTTATTAACCACATGCAACCATGTTTGTAATCAAGAGCTTGGTGTACTTTTGGGAGGAAAGAAGTTATTTGTATCTTTTAATTAAGAAGATATGCTCAGAAATGAAATTCTACTTTCATTAGAGGCAGAAACTCTAAATATGCTGTATTAAGTCATGAACATAGGAAACTTTAGTATGCAGTCAGTTCTTTTTTTGTGGTGATGGAAATGAGTGGAGTAGACAACAGATTTATTTTGGATCTTGAAAAGGATTATGATGGGAGTTGGGGGCGTGGTATTTTTTTTCCTGTGTTTTGGCTCAAGTTTTTAGAGTAAGAAGTAAGAATTTCTTTAGTTTCATGCCAAGATAACTAACTTTTAAGTGTATCCAGCTAATTTGATATGTTTATGTCACTTCCTCCAGCTGCAGTAATTCAGGTATCACAACTGAGCTAATAACCAATGCATATGTGCAAAAAGACCGTAAAACGAATGCTAGAATTATTCTTTTTCTTTTTTGTAGCTTTGGATTAGAATCGAAAAATATTATTGGTAACCCAGGACCAAATTGTAAAGCTACTTGTATAGGAAAGGTTTTCAGGCATTTCTCACAGCTTTCTTACTATCTTAATTAAAGAAAAGAAAAAAAATATATAAATATATACACACACACATATACACATTTTAACATTCATGTGCATATGCACACAAATATATATATTTACACGTGTATGTTAATTAGCCAATTCCTCACTTTTGTATAAGGTATTATTTATAACGTTTTATAAAATATATGTACCTGAAATTTTATGTTTTAAATACAGTTTTTAATAAAAAAGAGTACTCTTTTTTTCTGAATTATATTCTAAATGAGTTTGGAGGGGCATATTGTTTAAAGAAGACTTTTTAAAACATAATAAATAGTAATTTAATGATTTTTTTTCTTGCTAGGGATTTCTGATAAAGTTATAGCAGAACATGCCCCAGAAATTCACGTAGAAACATTGGTAGGAATGTGAGTACACCCACCATTGTTTAGCGTGATGGCAGCAGATTGGTTATTTCCATGACAGGGAATAGGAAATGTTTCACATGGTTTAACTCCCATCTGCAGTCAGTTCTATTTTTGGTAATGAAGAAACTTGGAATCTGAGCGTTGTCCAAAAAATAAGTGGAATAACTCTTTACAGGATTCTAAAATTCCTCAGGTATGAGATAGTTGGAGAAATTTTCTAAATGATTGTATTCATGCCTAGGAATGAGATGAAATCCAAGATGCTGTGAACATCTGTATTTATTTTCACCATTTTAGTGCTGAACAGCCTCAGCTAAGACCATAAACTGGTTGTAGTGTCATTAATTTTCTTAATAGGTTAATTATGTGCCACATTGTGACCTCATCACAATTTGTATTTGGCTTTAAACTTGATGAGAATAGTTTCATTTGCTTTATGAATGTTTGACCCTCTACAGCCACGAATGAGAAGCCCCAAAGCAAATTTATACTGGGTTAATACTATTAGATCATACCTAGGCATAAGAAGGGAAGCCCAGCTCCTGAGACTGTGTGCTGTGAAGTGTTTGGGGCTTATTGATCATTTCTAGGCTTAATACAACATTAAAGACTTAAGGGAATTCACTTTTTTATTGCCTTTTCTTAATAACTCTATTGAAATTCCTATTTTATCGCTCCGATTTTCCACAGTTGATATCCCATCTCTTTGAGACTGTTTTTTAAAGGCCTTTATAAGACCTAGATAACAGAATTCTAAATGACACTTCCACCACTACCCTTACCCTACACTAATATATAGGTGGTTAAGTTCTACGTAAATTATAGAAGATGAGGCAAAAGTAGTTTACAGTTGTTCGTATGGAAAATAATAGAATAATTAGTAAATAATAAAATAAGCATAAACTATGTGTTTCACGTACTCACAACTGTAAACCAACTTTTGCCACACCCTGTACCCACACATATTCACATACATGTAATGTGTGTATACATAGCTATGTATGCACATAAACCATACATGTATATACATACAGGTAAGCTATATAGGTCAGGTTAATCTGTAGTTTTGAGGTAATTAGTGTTCATGGACTGGTTAAGTCTGGTGGATTACGTAGCTAAATAAAGATAGTAGAATGGCAGAGGTGCAAATGAAGTTATTTTCTGTAAAAGACTGACGTAAGCCTTATGATTTGTAATTATTTCTTGAACTGTAAATGACTAGGAAAGTTGACTAGTTTGTTTATCCCCTTCCTTATTATAGGGGAACTAATGCTATATTCTCACCTTGTAGACACATTTATATTTAAAGCCTTAGTATAACATTTAAAACACATTTTTGAAAACTTCAACAATAGAACATGTATAATGAGATAAAAAGTTTTCTTTTGGTATTTATACTTTTGGGGAGACATTTCTGACAACTTGTAATATATATTTTGATTTGAGATTTATTCAATATTAATTTTTCCCAGGCCTATCTGAACTTAAAACAGCCATTTTTGGTTTACTGCCTTGGTTTTATATATTAATTCCAGGGTAAAAGTATTCATTGTATACTCGGATTTGGGGAGAGGAGTTATTTAAAAACAAGTTGTGAATTTTATCAAACTGATAGTTTCTTATGAAAAATAAATTGCAGTATTTTTTCCTTCGTAAGGAATTATGTAATCTGCTAGTCACAGATTAAAATGCCTACTACTTTATACTTTTACAATACTTAACATACCAACTATTCTGTGATAATACTATTAATAATTTGTATCTGAATTCTTAGTATCTCAGAGGTAAAGACATAAACACTAAAGATAGCTGTTTTAAAATGTACTAAAAGAATAGAAAACATTACTAGCTGTGGTATATTATTAATAATTTCTTCAACTAAGCAAGTTTGAACATGGATTGATTTCTTTATTGTGTCTTCCAGTACTTTTTCCGTGCAGGGTTCAGTATAATATGAATTGGATCTGAATAACTATTTGTTGGACTATATATGCTATATTGCTCTTTATAATAAATAGAAAAATAAGGATTTAATTCAAGTTGTTTCCATTCATTGGAAAAATTATTTGTGATGCTATTTAACTATAAAGTGTTACATATTCCTACCCTGATCCGATGAAACACATATTTATTCATGAGTTTTAACAAGAATGAGAATACATATATATTTTCCGTTAATTTCACAGTTTTTATACAGTTCAGATGAAATATATAATAAGAGTGCTCTGTAAATGGTAAAACATCATACATATGTTATATATTAGCATTATTGTAGCTCTGAAAAGAAAGTAGCACTAATTTCCAGATGCCCACATAGCATTTCATATCACAAATATTTTTATATGTGGGCTTACTTTTAGTTCTGACATTTTATAATTTGTCCTTTGTTTACATGCAGCAAGGAGTTATGGGAGAAGACGAGGTAATTAATTTCTGTTTGCTATGGTATAACTGTTTCTAATTGGGTTTTACTGATCAATGTTGTATTAATTATCACAGATTTCTTGTGCAGTGTCTGAAAACTCACAGAAGACTTATATTTTGATTTGAGCACTTGTTGTCAAAGTTTTCAATCCTAAATCTTTAAACCTTTAAAGAACATTTCATACTAATATGGTTATTTAATAAAATTATCACTTTTAAACTGCCCAGATTTTAACTATTTTTAAAGTTATTTTATACCTTTTAAAATAAAGCTCATTTATAGTTTGCTTAAGAAATATGTTTAATAAATACTAGTGAAGATGACATGCAATATGATTTTCTACTCTTTAAATCTATAACTGATTATCTTATCTGTGCTATATGATTTATCTCTCTAGTTTATTAGTTTTATGTTTGACCCAGTTGAAAATAACAAATGAACATTGATATACAGAAATCACGTTGCTAATATTTCTCTGTCTTATAAGAATGTAATCTATTCCCCCATACACTTTCTCTCTATCCTGCAATAGTCTTCTCCTTGGACTTACTATCTTAAAGAAAAAGCTGGGACTGTGTGATGCTGTACTTACTAAACTTTCTAGAAAAGCAGCTGACATTTTCTGTGGCTTAGACTTTACCTTTTTTTTTCATGTGCAAAATTTGAGAGGGAGAAAAATCTATGGGCAAAAGTAATTTATATTACTAGGTTATTTAAGTGAATGATAATCATATTTATATAGTTGCCATTATATAAGTGCCAAACTAAATGGAAAGACTTTTCCTTGATCTTTAAAATATCCCTTGATCCGTGGATGATAGACAATGATAACAGTGCCTTTTGATAATTATTATATGTGTGTGTGTTTCAGTTTCTTTTTATGTAGTCATGACTGCATGTACTTTGAAAACAAGCTAAAACATTTGCCATCACTGAGGACAGAAACAACTAGTTTGTATTCTTAAATAGTATTTCCAGTTTTACATTTTACATCATCTGAATTTAACTTCATTTTTGAAATTTGAAACTTAAAATGCTTGACTGAATTTCTTGATTCTTTCATTTTCTTAACTAAAAAATTTAGAGCTAGAGAAAACCTAAATAACTTTCTATAGATTGTTATTAGCAACTGAGGAGAAAGGGAAAGTTTTAGAATTTTAGTGTCTGTTTTCAGATCTATGTACTATCTCATTTCACTGTGCTATTTTAATATGGAGCTTCAGTTCTCTTGGAAAAGTACCCACTTACCAAGCTGTGATTTTAAGGTATTTTTTAAACTAAAGAGCAATTTAGGATTCTTTTCTTTTTTTTTTTTAATCTTCACCTGAGGATATTTTTTTCTATTTATCTTCAGAATCTTCAGATAGACTGGGAGGGAGAGAGAGAGAAACATCGATGTGAGAGGGACACATCGACTGGTTGCCTACCGCACAACCCCGACCAGGGCCAGGGACAAACTACATTTGAGGTATGTGCCCTTGGCCGGAATCAAACTCTGACTCATTGGTCCACAGGCGGACGCTCTACTGCTGAGTCAAACCAGCCAGGGCTAGGATTCTTTTCTTATTATACACTTTTCATCTGTTAGCCTTAGCAATTTATGTTTAATCTAATTTGGCATACTCCAGTGTAAATATGATGATCTAAGAAGTTCATAGGAGGAAGTTAGCAGAAAGTTACGTTATTTATCTTCTTTCATCTCAGTTCTATAGTTGTAGACTATGGTTATAATATTAAGAAAAAGCAAAATGTTCTGCTTTTAGGTAGGAACTTGCCAATACTCTTTAATATCTCTATCCTTTGGGAGCCATAAAGGTTTTTTCTGCTTTAGAGCTGCCTCCCAGTATTGAAAGAAACTGTCACATGGTTTTAAGGTAGACCATCTATGGGACAGAACTTACAGTTGTCAGTTTATTTGGCAAATTATGGGGGAATAATGCCTAAATTTCTCTCTCAAATTATATGCCATTAGTAAATTTTTTAGTTGAGACTCTGAATAGTAGGAGTCTGTTTTAAATTGTTTTATTTTGATGGTCAGATGAAAAGTATACTCATTAGAAATAACTATTGAGAGATTTATTTGAATTTGAAAATATTTTGACACCGTAAGTAATAAAACATTTTTTAAAAACATGCCAAACGAATGACTCAGAAAGGTAGAAGTAACCTGGTTCCCTTACTATTTTTTACTCATTTTCCCCCTTTCTATTCAGTTTACATATCTTATTCATCCTCTGTGAGAAAAGGACAAACCTATTATTGGGGCAACGTATTTTAAAGTGATAAGTGCACCTTATAATTTCATTCTAAGTTCTTTGGAGAAACATGCATGACTCTATCTGATTAAACTGGTGATGTTTTAGAGAAATCAGTCCTGAACCTACTACTTTTGCTTTGATAGTTTTTTTTATTCTTGCATATTAAATATTAAAAATCACACTGGTGGGTTATCTACCCTAGTGGAATAACCACTGGATCTTAAAAAATGGGAATATTCCTATTCATGTTTAATTAATATAATTTGTTTTGTTTTTACTTTTAGAACAACTTTCAGTAAATACAAGAACAGGATAATACATTGAGATCAAAGAACCATGCTTAGCCTCAAGCTATAAACTGACTGATTTGTGCAAGTGTTTTTTTTTCTCTCTTGCCTCCCCCATGTGGGAAATGTCTTTACTCTGGGTTTCCAAAATAAAACTAAAATGTGAAGAGTTAACTATAAGTATTAATGTTTAGACCTATTAGCATATCCACCACAGTCAGAGTTAAAATCTCAGTGTAATCTTAGTTATAATTAATTTCATATTACATTATGTTAATTCTTATATTTTCTGTTTGTACCTTTTCCTTTTGCAAAACTTTGATTTGCCTTTCATTTGTATGTACATAGGTATATTTATTTATACATGTGCGTGTGTGTGAATTGTTCTACATTTATTAAAAATATAAAATCTAGCATTGTGGCTCAGCGGTTAGATTGTGAGCCCAGGCACTGAAGGATCAAGGGTTCGATTCCAGGTCAAGAGCATGTACTTCGGTTGCAGGTTCCATCCCCTGCCCCAGTCAGGGCACATGCCAGAGGCAACAAATTGATGTTCTCTCACATGGATGTTTCTCTTTCTACCTCCCCCTCTCTCCCCTGCCCCTTCCCCCCCGTCCCTTCTACTCTCTCTAAAAATATCAATGGATATTATAGATATATAGATACACACACATACATATACACACACACACATATATGCATGTATTTGCATACACACACACACACACACACACACACACATAACTAAAGAATAAAGTTTCTACAAAGAAAACATCAGGCCTAGGTGGCTTTAATGATGAATGAACATACTTTTAAAAAACAAAGAACAGCATATTTATAGAACTGTTCAGTAATATATTTATTTATTGAGTTCTGTATCTATTTAGTTCTACATATGTGTATATAGTATATATATGTATGTATATATACATACACACACACATATACATACATATAAACAAATACATATATATAAAAACATATGTATATATAAAAATTGTGCCAATTTTCAAAGGTATTTGTTTAAGGGATTTATTTCCTCTAGTTGTTGAATTTATAGCATAAAGTTTATAATACTTTCATTTTTAGCCTTTTAATGTTTGTAGATTGTGTTGATTGATGTCCTCTTTTTCATACCTAGTATTGGTAATTTTAGTTTTCTTTCTTTCTTGATGAACTTAGAGATATATCAATTTTTGTAAGTTTTTAAAGAGTCAAAATTTGGCTTTATTGATTATCTTTCTGTTAGTCTGTCTTTTAATGTCATGTTTTTCATTTTTCATTTCATTCTACTTTGTTTTTAAATTGCTATTTTTTTCTCTAAACTAGGATTATTTATTTTAAACATTTCTTTTTCTCTAATGTGCATTTAAAACTATAAATTTTCCTCCTAAGTATGGAAATTTTTCTCTAAGTATGTGGCTTTTGCTACATCCCACAGATTTTATATTGTGTTTTTATTATTCAATTTCACTCTTTTGGGGTGTAAAAAAAATGGAAAATATATCCTAGTTTCAAAGCAAAAAATAAGGGCAATTTAATTTTGATTGAAAACTATAGTAAATATTTTAGTCCAAGTCAGATTTTAATCAAATCTACTTCTCTGAGCACATATGATTTTACCTTTATTGACAGTCATTTTCATGCACTAAATATATGTATGTCTTATTCTTAGAAAGTACGTTTAAAGTATATGTATATGGAAAACAATTATTTAGTGGTTTCTTTTATAACCAAATTAATTTGGTTTAAAGGAAAAGATAACTGGCAAGGTAGAAAGTGATATTTTGTAGGTGGTGTTTGCTCAGTTAACTTCTCTTTTAAATAACTATAGCTTTTAAGGCTTCTGGAAAGAAAGTGATAATTATTTTTTAACTATGAACAGTCTTTTTAGTATGGCTACTGTGTGATATGTTCTTAGCCTTTTCATTATATCCTTTGTTACAGCTGAACTTTGCTTAATAGATTATAGATATTTGCTATTTTACCAATTGTAATATTTATTATAGTTAAAACATTATTATATTTAGTAAAATGGAATTATTGTCAATATAGTTATAATCTAATTATATTTACAGTATTATAGTTAGCATAAAAAGTTTGTCATTTTAAGTCCACCTCTCTATCTGACATTGCTTATATAGTGATTTCCTTAGTCATTGTATTCGCAAACCCTAAATATTTATGATCTGTATTTTTTTCTCATGATAAAAATCTGTTAGAAGGACTTTATTATATTCATGGCACTGCTAAATTTGCATGTCAGGACACTTTAAAGTGAAATCATTTTCAAAGTATTGGCATATCTGCAATAAGTATAAAATTTGGTTTTGTCATTTTTTTATTAAAAACTAGTATTTATGTTGTTTTTCTACCTCATTATTCCTTTTTAAAATTTAAAATTCCTTTTTAAAATAGAATTATTTCTTTAAAATCAATTAGAAATTTGAACAAGTTACTCACAATTAAGACTGTTTTTAATAGATCTCGATGAGGTTCATTTTGTTAAGTAAAATAGTTTCATTTTTGAAGAGCTTTCTTTCCACTGATTAATTACAAAAGAATATTAACATTTGTTTTACACTATTCCTTATTTCTGATAGGAAAGGTATTGGGAAAGTTAATATTCACAAAGTTACCCAGTAAACATAGGTATCTTTCAGAATAACTTACTAAAATTGAGTTTGCCTCTGTAGAATAATTCCTGTTTCTTCTATTTATTATGAATTTTTTCCTTGTTTTTGTGTCTTATCTTTAAATTATTATTTGCAGCATCTGGTTATATAGTTCATAGACGAGTAGCCCCCCTCCTTGTCAACCAGCCCCAGTTCTTAGCAGGCTGACACATTTCAGACTGTCTTTATTTATATCTCTTGTATCATTATGTGCCATATTTTTCAAGATGATAACATTAATGACATTTTATGTTTAATATTTATTACTTGTATATATTCAGACATAGGCCATATATTATATACATTGTCTCCTCATCCAAAAACAAAATCCTTCACTCGATCTTGAAAGAAAACAACCTGTCTACATTCTTATCTTTAATAAACTTCTAAAGAATCATCTTTTGATATCTGTACTTTACAAAGCTCAAATGCAGTGTGACTCCCACCCAAATTTATTAAAACCAATACCTTTGAAGATCATGCATGTTTTCAGACACAGTTGTCATTTTTAAAAATCATCATCTTAACATCTCACATTGTTACTTTCTCTTTTTTATTAAATTAGTTTTCATTTGTACTCTGTCACAATAATATTTTGGCTGTCCTCTTTTCTTACTGCTTCTTTCTCTATCTCCTTGAATGTTCTATTTCTTTGTAAATTTTCCAAGGAACTGTCCTCATCATTTTTCTCTTGAGTTTTTATCTGTGATACTACCAAGAACCTAAACTATCACCTTTGTGGAGCTGACTCCCTTTATTTCCTCATATATACGACTGATTTCCTTTCTCTACTTTATTTTCAACCTTCATACATTTACTTTGGAATAGCCTATCAGTTTGTGAAACTTGACATATCTAAAACACATTTCCCTTCTTGTACCAATTCCTGGTCTTTGCTGTCCTTATATTTAGTTAATGATTCTTAACCATTCATGTTCTAAAATCTCCTTTTGGTTTCTTTTTTTCCCTTCTTTTTCTCTGTTTTGTTTCCCATCTTACCTTTTACTGTTGTAGTTACCTCTGCCATCTGTCCTTTCTGAAGTTTTTGAAGAACTGATCTGTTCATTTCCACCTACCTTAACCATTCTTTCTAGAGCACAAGAAAAAAAGTTACTATCTTGCTTGAACCCCCGTGTCATTATTTCCTTTACCTACTAAAAACAATGGCTCCTTTAGCCTGGCATTCAAGGCTGAGTACTCTGACTAACCGCAAAGTGCTTTTCTGGCTTGACCACTCGATTTCTAAGTAAATTTAGTTTTCCTATTTTTTCTGTTTTTTCTTTCACTTTGAAAAATTTATTCAAAACCATGTTCTTACAGATATTTTTATTTGTAAATATTCTACCCTTTGTAATGTCCCCAGTAAGCACTACTACCTTTGCAATTTTACCACAGATGCTATTCAGTTTCACTTGAGGATTTAAGAAATTATCCATTTATTAGCCAGACTACTCCCTTCATCATACTTCCTCTGAAGCACTTGGAAGCTTCCTTATGGATATGTGCCCTAGTTATTTATATAGATCTTAGCTTTTCTAAATGTACATTCCTTGAGAACAGGGGGCCATATTTTATCAGGTTATTTTATTTTTTGATCCCCACATAGTCTAGCAACATGATTGCTGCGGAGAATTGTCCAGGATGTGCCCTGTACAAGGGTGCACTCCCGAAGGGTGAGCTCAGATGGGGACTGGAGTCTGAGAGGGGATGGCCTTTTGTGTTTCGCACATGTGCAGAAGCCATGTCTACCCTTTCATATAATTGTCACGTGTAATAAATTAATTCAAGACCTTATATACAAGGATTGCTTGATGCCCTTGTCCTTCCTATAGTCTGCAAGTGGTTTTATGTCTTATCTATGTAGTCTGTGCCATTTCCTTTCTGCCACCAATTTCTGAAGGTTTCTCCTGTTACACATCCAGTCTAACCATCCCCAGACATGAGATTCTTTTTGCTTTTCATAAAAATTTTAAGTGATCTAGTGTTTGTGGTATAATTGTTGTGATATTGCTGTTTATCTCTAAGTCATTTCTTCGACTGCTTCATTATGAACTCTAATTAAAATCTTTATCTGAGTTTCCTTTCATTTTTATGAATATATCACCTTCATTTTTTGAGCCTTTGAATTTTCATTGCTCTTTTTTATCTTTATTGTTGAAAGTTTTACAGATGTCCCCCTTTTTTTCCAGCATTGATCCCTCTCCTTCCCGCATCCTCCCCCCTCCTGCTTTTTCCAAACTATTGTCTGTGTCCATTGGTTGTGCATATATGCATATTGTCATTGCTCTGTTCATGTTTGATTTTAATTTCTCATTTTCTACTATCTGAGAGTCAAGTGATATTTGTTCTTACATTTTAGGTCGTTCTTCCCTCTTTCCAATCGATGATGGCTTGTTGGATGATGGTCATAATGATCAAGTTGGTGTTTTAAATTCACCTACATGTTACTCAGCTCATCAAAATGGAGAGCGAATAGAACGCTTCTCTCGAAAGGTTTTTGTGGGTGGTCTTCCTCCAGATATTGATGAAGGTAAGCTGATGATTTGAGCTTAAAAAAAAAACACTGAAATATATTGTGAATGGGGTATGGGATTTTTTACCTCTAAAGATTTTCAATTAGAATAGATATCCATCTCTGTTTAAATATTTTAAGTATCTTTTCACCTGCTCAAATGTGGAGGTAGTTGAACAAAGTTGATTTCTTTACATTATGTTATAATGTGTATTGCTACTGTAAATATTTTTTATAAATAAGATTTGCGTACCCTAGGTCATATTCCACTTATATTTTTAAGTATAGGACATATTTTTTATGGGAAATCTGCTATTCTGTTTCAAAACTAATAGATGATTCAATGATTAAAAAGACTAATAGATTATTCTGTGTACTAATCAGTATAATAAGGTTTCCATGGGGTGGAATTACCTAGAACCTATATTGGATTTGACCTGGATGTGTTTCAGTGAACTGGCATGTGTCAGACTCTAGTATATTATATGAGTGTTAGAGATTTTCATATGTTGCTTCAGCATACCTTTTTCTACAAGAGTTTACTTATCAAGCAGTAATGGATCCCTTTATTTAATTTAACATTATGTTGGCATGTTTTTCAAGACAATGATATTTAAGGTTTGGTGTACTGTAAATGTATTATTATCCATAGAATGTTATATAAAATGTAAAAAATCACACTGAATTGATTATTCTGGCCACTATACCGCTTAAAAATTGATTTATTTGGATAAAATAGATATTTTTATGTATATTTTTAATAAGGGTATTAAACATGTTTTCAGTGTTTGTGTTCTAGCTTATCTTAGGCTATTTGGTATTTTTAAATATTAAATCTTTAAAGTAACATAGCATATCAGCTTTTAGAATGAATTTTCAAAACTAATTCCTAATGCATATCATTGTGCTTTCTTAAGATGAAATAACTGCTAGCTTCAGAAGATTTGGGCCTTTGGTAGTAGATTGGCCTCATAAAGCAGAAAGCAAGTCCTATTTTCCACCAAAAGGTAAGGGTTTTTATTGATAACATTTGCTAAGGAATCAATTATATATGAGCAAAAGAGACAGTATCAATTACTTTGTGTTTTCTTTTCTTTTAAAATTGAATATGACTACATCTTTATATAAAAATTAATAGTGTAATTTGTAGAGGCTGGTAATATGTATTGAGGAAGGCAGAATGGTCCTGAGAGCTATTTCAGTTTCACTTTAAGCCAGTAAGAAATCATAAGAGACTTGCTATGCTTTCTCTATAATGATTTGATGATAATTTTAAAGACTCAAATGTTTCAGTACTTTTTCTATCTAAAGCATCTTTCAAGTAACCTTGAGTAAAGACATATAAAAAGACCCCCTCTTTACTTTACTCAGTGAAATAAAGATCTGTGTGACGTGAGACTAAAATATAAATTTATGAATAGTTTAAATACTGAAAAATTTACTTAAGTGTTCCAGATTACACAAATCACAGTAGAGCAGTACACACTCTGTTGGTGAATTCAGATAGAGGAGAACATGACTGGGCAACAAACACTCAATTATGTAAAGAGACAAGATGTGAAGAAAATACCTTATTGTGTTAGTCACGTACTGCTATTTTGCTGTGGCTGATCACCAGACTACAAGAATCACAAAGCAGATCACACCATCAGTGGAGAGAGGAAGGATCCCCTGTCCACAGTGAGAAGGGCAGGAAGGGGGCAAGAGTTGAACATTATTCCAGTTGGGCAGATTCCTGATGGCAGATTCTCTGAAGTGACTAAAGGGGGAGGTTGAAAGACAAAGACTTTTCTTTAAGTATTATTGAAATATAATTTTAGAAAAGAAAAAACTCTGTTATTCTCATGGCTGAGTGGATTTTCAAGCCTGGAAAAGACTCCAATAGGTCTATTAAATAGTCTGATTTTGGCTCTGGGAAAGGAAATAGGTTAGGTATTGTTGCACAAAAATTAGCTAACGGTTCCTGTTGATGAATTATGTGGGCCATCTCTACTTTTTGTCATTGAGAATTACAGAACCTTTATTGCTAGTTCATGTAATTTTTTTAAAGAAATGTAATAATACAGTGATTTTTGTTTTGTTTTGTTTTATGCCTTTAGATCTTATCCTTACGGGGTTGAGACCACCTTTGGGCAGGGATTCTGGATCCCAGGCCTCTATGAGAATCTATTAGAACCTATGGACCTTTCTCTATATACTTGACATTTTCACATGATTTTGAAATTTACTAGATTTGGAGGTCCCAAATCCTCAGAGAGAAAATTAGGTCCACAGAGATATAGATGTTTGTTGTTTTAGTTTTTACATGCTGTTGTCCAGAGTTTTACTATCTTGTTCTTTTAAAAAGTTTATTTTATTGAGTGTTCAACAAAAATGCTTGTTTCTAATGTTCCTGTGTAACTACTTCAGACATGTATTTGACTATTCTGTCCACATTTGTGGTGCTCTCGTTTTCTCCCGTAATAAAACTGAAGCAGTCTCTCTAACTCATCTGGCGGTGCTACCCTTTGCTTCCCTGCTTAAAACTATTCAGTGGTTTCTTTTATTGGTATGGTAAGGGAAAAAATGCTGGCCTCCCCATCCTTCTCTTTGCCTCTCCCATTATTGCTTCTTGTTCCCTTCTGATTCCATAATCTGGCCTGTTCTCTCCTTCCTCAGAGATTTTATGTGTAGTGTTCTCTTGGCTTGAAGACTCTTCCAGTGTCTTTGCATCTATATTCGCTACTTCTCTCAGCTTAAGTATCAGTTTCAGGACCCACCTAGGAGGTCAAATCAAAGTGTAGTCCATCCTAGCACTGTTCTTTTATTGTTCTTGTCACAGTTGCAATATAACATTTTTACAACTTTAAAAATATATGATAATTTTATTAATGTCAGACTCTTCCAGTAATCTGTAAGACTCTTTTATCTTTGTATTCTCAGTAAGTCTAGATTAATAATTGCCTAATACGTGATAAAACAACTATAAGATAGAGAAATCATTTTGACCTGAAGTAGGTGGGGGAAAGCTTCGCTTGAGAAGTTTCTAACTAAATCTGTAAGGTTCTGTGCAACTTAGATGAAAATGGTTGGGCAGAGCTCCAGGCAGGGCTTGGAGGGTGACTTTACAAAGGAATTAGAATTGGTTTTTATGGAGGCATACACATTTTTTATGAGTCTCGTGTTCATTAAGAGGATGGTGACTGTAAGACTAGGAACTTAGCTTGGCACAAATTTAATGAAACAGAATCCTTGCCGTCTTTGTGTCTGTTGTTGCCATTGTCATCGTCATTGTAGTTTTTGAGGTGGTGGTTAGTTTATTTTCTCAAACTGAAAACAAACAAAAGTGTGTGTGTGTGTGTGTGTGTGTGTTGGTGTGTGTGTTGGCATGGCAAATCATAGTTTTTTTTTGGTACAATAATAGTTAATTGTAGCCATTGCCAAAGACCAGTGTTCCCAAATCTTGGTCTTCCGAGAACTATAGATGCTTTGTTTTGATAAGGGTATTTAATTTTTTTTTAAATTTATTGATTTTAGAGAGGAAGGAAGAGGGAGAGAGAGAGAGATAGGAACATCAATGAGAGAGAACATCAATTGGCTGCCTCCTACACGCCCCCCACTGGGGATTTGGCCTACAACCTGGGCATGTTCCCTGACCAGGAACCAAACTGGCAACCTCTCGGTGCATGGGTCGACACTCAACCACTAAGCCACACCGGCCGGGCAAGAGTATTTTAATATTTAATGGCCTTGTTTCGCTAGATCATAGTTCATTTGACATGTTGCTTAATTAATTTTGTGATATAAACATTTCTTTCCTTACAATCATAAAAAACAATTAAGCAATATTAAAAATATTGAATTTGAAGTGTTGTTTTAAGATTAAGTATTATGAAAATAATCATATAAAATATTAATATCACAAAACTTAAGCAGCATTAAAAATATTGAATTTAAAATACTGTTTTAGTAAATTAGCCTTATATTCTATTATTACAAAACAATTATATCTCTCAAGTGCTCAGCTTTGTAGCAAAATTAAAGCCTTCACTTAAAGAAAACCAGTCTTTATTTAAAAAATAATTTTTAAGCATATTTAAATTGTTTGTAGTAAGTAAAAAGGTTCTAAGATGCATTTCTTAATCTTGCATAATTGTTACCTTTGGAAGTTTCTATTTGTGTAGGTCAGTTTGATGTCTTATTTGTGCAATCAAGTAATGTAATTTTATTAAAAAAATACTTCTGTGTCACATCAGACCTTTGTGGCAGTAAGGCCATTGTTGGCAACAGCGGAATTTTTTTAGTTCTATGTAAAATATGACCTCACACTTCCCGTGGTTTAATGGAACAGATATGTGTGGCTTCTTCACATTAGCACTTAGATGGCAGTGCTCCATGTTAGTTTGCACAGAAATCTTGTCAAGGAAAAGGGATGTTTTTACGTCATTTATAGTTATTAGTTTCTGGGAATAATCACAAAATAGTAAACTTGGAATATAAATTTTGATGCCTTTTTATAATGAAGTCTGCTTGCTGGATGCATGATTGATTAAAGATCAATAATTGTTTGTCACAAGAAAAAGAGGAAGTACGTATTTCCTGATGATATAGGAATTTAAGCAAAAGCTTGATTTACAAGTCTAAATAGTCTCTATACTGAAAAAATTGTTCATCCAAGTTGCAACTTGATTTAAAAGTTCTGACCTATCCTGTTATATTCCAACCTCCCTAAGATAGTTTTCTTAGTAACATTTGAAAGTTGTCAAGTTGACTATGGAATTTTCCCTCTGTGTATGGAAATTCCTAGGCCTTTCCAAGTGTGCTGTAGTCCAAAAGTATGCTCTAGATCTTCTTACCCCGAGGGCATTTATAGGGGACTTCAGGTCCTAATATGCTGAACTGATTGATCCTTCCAAATTGTTTGAGAAGGCAGCAGCATCACTACTAGAAAGAGCATGGGACTGACCCAAGTTTGAAATTACTCAGCCAATTACTTATGTGACTGACTTCCAGCAAGTAATTAATCACTCGATACCTCAGTATCTTCTGTATAATATGGGAGCAATATTTCATATACTTGTATCAAACAAAATAGTTAATGTAAAACTTTTAGCACAGCACTGTATACTAAGTGCTGTATATAAAGTAGGTAATTAATTTAATGAATATATGTTTTTGTGTGTATTCCATAGGATGTTGTGTTCTATAGAAAGTATAATGACTCTAGTCCTAATTGATAGGCTTTTTTTTCCCTTTAAAAAAAACCGTGTATTTTCTAAACAGTAATAAAATCTGGGGTGTAATCACTTACTTTGACATACTGCTTTATCTTTCGTGATTATTCTAGGCTATGCATTCCTTCTCTTTCAAGAAGAGAGCTCAGTGCAGGCACTGATAGATGCTTGTATTGAAGAAGATGGGAAGCTCTATCTGTGTGTCTCCAGCCCGACCATCAAAGACAAACCGGTACGTAAACACTACGTGAACTACAAACTATAAATGCAAGTTTTCTAAAAACTGTTTTGAAATGATTGTTAATGGAAAACAATTAAACCATCATGTTAAGAGTTTAGTTTTTAAAAATGTGGATAATTTATAGTTCCTAGATAAAAAAATAATAATAATTTGTTTCCAAATTCAACTATCCAAAATTTTAAACAAGGAAAAAACTACTGGCACAAAACAGCATAAGCTATATAAGACCCAATAAAATAATGTCCTTTTCTTAATAGGTTCAGATCCGTCCTTGGAATTTAAGTGATAGTGATTTTGTGATGGATGGTTCTCAGCCTCTGGATCCCCGAAAAACAATTTTTGTTGGTGGTGTACCTAGGCCACTAAGGGCTGGTAAGTAGAATGCTAACACATTATGTGTTTTTAAATATAATTAAGCAATTCAGTAAACATTTGGTAACTATTGTGTACATGGCACTGTTGGGCAGGTGAGGGGCAGATTCTTCGTGCTTCAGTAGTTGCTATGGAATTCTGAGGCAATGTCTAAGAATCATTCTTGAAACCATCAAGTAACTGGAGAATATTAATAGTTAACTTCAAACAGAGTCTATTAGAAAAATTCACTCAAACACTTCTGACTTGTTATGTGTAACTCACGAAGATGAGGATTTGGGGTCTGTTTCTTTTATGTAGGTTGATTCTGATATCTGACGAACAAATTTGGGATTAAAAAAACAACAGCAGCACTTTAGATAAGAGGAACATAATTACAGATGTAAATGGCCACTATGTAAGCATGCTTTAGGACACCATGTATCCTGTGAAGCGCAGTAGTTCCTTCCATCACTGAGAACATCCTCAAGAAGGGAGATTTAGGTTGAAGAACTATTCACACGTGTAAATACTAATAGAAATAACTGCAACAAGGGAAGACTTTGGGATATAAAAACATATGGCAAGGAAAGGTGATATAGTCTGATACTTTAAATATACTTGTATCTGAGCTGACATGTAAAGACTGAACGGAAGTAGTAGTTTGGGGGTGGTCGGGAGGGTTATAAGGAGTTTTCAGATAAAGGGAACAGCATATTCAAAGGTTCAGTGGAGGGAAGAAGAATAAATTAGAAGGACTGAAAGAAGCCCAGAGTGCCTTACCAGGTTACAAGGAGTGAGAGGAAAGACACAAGAAGACACTGGAAAAATAAACAGGAGTCTGACATTCAAGCCTAATAGGCTAATTTATCCTCAGAGCAAGGGGAAACCAACGAAGAGCTTTTAATAGGAGACATGATCATATTTACATTTTTGAAAGATCCCTTTAGCTAATGACTCATCGAGGGGAGAACCAAGTTGGGAATAGATGTTGGTAGACCAATTTGGTTGCCTGTTACTGCATCCAGGAGACAGGTAGTCTCTTGGATCAGTGGTGGTAGTGGAGAAAGAGCCAAGTGAACAGATGTCATAAGGTACATACAAAGTTGAATCTCAGCTTTCAGTCTTAAGCCACTAGGTAGATAGTAGTACCTTCTACTAAATTAAGGAACACTGGAGAAGGAACAGGTTGGGGGAAAGATTTGAGTCCTTGGTTTTGAAAGCTGTGGTGCACTGTTCAGAGATCCCAGTTAGAAATTTCAGTTAAGCCATTGGGATATAATAGAGGTATCTCTCTGCCTTTCAAAAGTTTGATTTACTTTGTGCTGCTTCACTTTTACAAAACACCTACATTAGTACCTGTTTTAGTTAACCAAAAGAACTAGAAAGAGGATTTTGCTTTTAAATTTTCCTAACCTTTATAAAAGTTTTTCATAGGGAACCCTCTACTTTCAGATTGTGAGGGAAACCTGTATATTTTTTAAGAGACTCACATTTGCTGCTCTTCTGCAAATAAACTTGGGATGGGGGAAGGATCAAAGATAAGGCTATTGCCATGATCCCGGTGAAAGTTGGAACAGGATGTTAGTGATGGAGGTGAGGTGATTGGATTTTACATATGTCTTGAAAATGAGGTTCACAGAATTACGTGTGCATTGGTGAACAAAGATGAAGCCAAGAGCCCTGACTTGGCAGTTTTATCTTTTCCATTGCTCACTAACTGAGTCAGCACAGGCTCACGGGGCAGGTTTGATGGGCAGCGGAAGATCAGGAGTGCCGTGTGAACACACTGAGTGTTGCAGTGTTCGTGAAATATCAGTGTGAGTTGTGCAGTGGACAGTTGCGTAGATGAGTCTGGAGTCCAGGGGAGAGCCCCAGACTGGAAGAATGTAGGGTCTGAGAACAGATAGGTGGTAATTAAGGCCATGACACAGGATCAAGTCACCAAAGCCATAACTATGGAGAGAAGTCCAAGGACTGATGGAAACCTAGGGTACTCTGCCATTGAAAAGTCAAGTCGTTGAGGAAGGACTAGCAGGGAAGACCAGGAAGGAATTACAGTATGGTAGGAGAATCAGTAGAATACTGGATCCTGGGATCTAGATGAGGAAAGTATTTCAAGGGTAGGAAAGAGATGAACTGTGTTCAGTGCTGCTTACAGGTAGATTGGCCACTGAATTTGACAGTGAGGAAGGGACCTTTACATGAGCTGTTAAAATGGAGTTCGGGGTGAAAGTTTGATTATGAAGGGTTGAACAAAGAATGAGAAGAGAGGGATTGGGAAATATAGAAAATTTTTTTTAGCAATTAGGGTTACAGAGAAATGAAGCAGTCACTTGAGAGGAAGAAGTAGAGTTAAGAGATTTTTATTTTGAGATGGGACAAATTACAGTATATTGGAAAGGACCCAGTATAGAGAGAAAAACTGATGGTCCAGAAAGTTGAGAATTGCCAAAGTAATCCGTTTGCAGTGAGAGCAGTTGGGATCTAGTGGACAAGTGAAGGGACTGGATTTAGAAAAGAGCATGACAATGACACTTATCCGTGAAGGTGGTTCTTGGGGTAGTGCTGGAATAAGCATTTCCAGAGGCCCCCACGGGAGGAGGAGATATAGTAGAAAGCTTCATTTCCATGGAATGACATCCCTTCTGTAAAGCTAAAAGCAGAGCCAGTGTCCATAGTTTTTTCCCCCGTATTGGAGATGGGTGCGGTTCAGCCTCAGGCAGGCTGCAGTACATTAGTCCATTGTGTGTGGGCCAGTGCAGCAGAGTGCCACAAGCTCAGTGCACACAAGTCCCATGAGTCCCAGGAGCAGCAAGAGAGCCAGTTCCTTTAGTTTAGGGGTTTAAATATCCAAATTCCTCACCCTTAACTGTGGCCACACCTGTTCTGGCCAGTGACTTCTGTTCCCTGGTGTGACTGACAATAACTGCCTTCCCTGTTCATCCCAACCATACTGAGCATGCATATATATCTGCCCTTTGTCCCCTAAGGAGTATAAAGTTGAGGCTTCCTCGTGAAGCAGTGCAAATGACATGCCTATAATGTCTGGCTTCCCCCTTTGTTCCTTTCCTGTTATTAATAACTAGGTTAATTACAACAGTATCAAAACTATATGTCCAATTGACTTTTACTTTTTAAAGAAAGCACTTAAAAGTTGTTGATTTAGTGTTCTCTCACATTTCATATGAACTTTTTTTTTAAAGTGGAACTGGCTATGATCATGGACCGGCTATATGGTGGAGTTTGTTATGCAGGAATTGATACGGATCCTGAGCTAAAATACCCAAAAGGTGCTGGTCGAGTTGCTTTCTCCAATCAGCAGAGCTATATTGCTGCCATCAGTGCTCGGTTTGTGCAGCTTCAGCATGGTGACATTGATAAACGTGTAAGTGCAAAAACGTGTATCTATAATAAGGATATAAGCAATATTCTAAAATTGTCATGTTTTCATTTATAGTACAGATGAGATATACTAAGAATATTAGGTAAATTAACTTTTTTATATCCAAATTAGTAGCTATAACTTGAGTGTGTTCCCAGTGTAACAGTGTCTTGAAGCTTCTTAGAGACTGTTTGCACAATAAAAGACTACTTTGGGGGCAGGGGAGGTGATTAACTAATGCTAATTGACTAGACCATGGACTTTAGAAGTGTCATCAATTTAATTGCCAAACCAAACCATTTAGAAAAGTACAGCATAGGTTCAGTTCATACACACAGAGTGGCTTTTTGTTTGCAGTGTTACTGAAAATAGTGTGAAAAAATTAAGACAAGGGGATCTGCTTTTATTTAGACATGCATACAAAAATTTTTTGAACTAGTTCGAACCTTAGAGTTTCTCTATTTCAGTGGTTTTCAACCTTGGCCGAACACTAAAGTCACCTGGGAACTTTAGAAAAACCTTGACATCTGGGTTCCACCCAGAGATTCTGCTGTAATTAGTCTGGGATGCAGCCAGGTCTCCCCAGGTGATTGTAATGTGCAGCTACACTTGAGACCACTGATGTAGTCTAACCCCTACTTTTGCAGAGAGGTGATAGTCACAGAGGAAATTATTTACATTGAATATACCTTATTTGTAGTTGTTTAATGTGCAGAAGCAGAAGGAAAGATTGTTGCGGTGTCATACCTCATACCTCTTTGTTTCCAAAAGGAGAGCGAAGGACCAATTAATTGGATCAGAGTATTGGCTCTTAAAGAGCAACTCAGATGCAGAACAAGTGAATTGAGAAACATATGCCTTCTTAAAAAGGCATTGAAATCCCTAAGAGTTTATTTTTTCAGATATGTGCTACTAAGGTATTATGGAAAATAAGAATAGGTGAAGAATTAATGAAACCCTGTTTTACACATACAAAAGTTAATTGTTATTATTAATGAGAAATAGATATTCATCATACTCTAAAATCTTAAGTCAGTTTTAAATTCAGTTTTCCATCTTTGAAGTTTATGATTTTGAATAAAGTAGATTAGCTCCATACAATAATGTATAGAATTTGAAAATGCAAATAATTGAAATCATCACATTTTAAAAATTCTATTCAATACTTTGACATTAAATAACTCCTGATACTTGCACTTAGCATTTTATGAGGTATTATAGAAGTAAAGAGCACAGAAATTGCCCTGGCCAGTTTGGCTCAGCGGTTAGAGCGTCAGCCTGCGGTCCAAAGAGACCGGGATTCAGTTCCCACTAAGGGCACGTACCTCGGTTGCAGTTTGTCCCCGGCCCTGGTTGGTCGTGCGGGTGGCAGCCACTCGATGTGTCCCTTCACATCGATGTTTCTCTCTCTCTCTCTCTTCCTCTCTCTCCTTCCCACTCTACCTGAACAAAAAATGGAAAAATGTCCTTGGGTGAGGATAAAAAACAAAACAAAGAAAAAAACAAACAAACACAGAAACTGTATTCAGTTTGCTTAAAATCCAGGGCAAGAAATAAACATGAGAAAGAAACCCAGAAAGCATATGTAAATGTATCACTTTCATTTAAATAGTTATATATAGAGTTTCTGCTCTGTGCTAGATACTCTGCTAGGTACTAGGTGCTGAGTGTGGAGCAGGTGGGTACTTTCCTGTGCTCAGAGAACTGTATCATCTGATGAAGGAAATCCAGTGATTCCCATGCTACCTTAATATATTCTTTGGTCATAGTAAAGTTATTCCTTAATTATAGTTACAATTAAGATAATAAAAAATAATAGCCTGGCAATCAAGTTAGAATCCATAAAGGGAAAAGATGAAAGATAAAGATTGAACATAAAAATTTTAGAATTTGTGTCAAAGATTATTTTGAAAACAAAAGGCCAGTGGAAAAAAACTGTTAAAAATCCTTAGCTGTCAAAGAGAAGTTATAAGTTAATTTTTAATACACTTCAGCAGGAAAACATGCATAATATACAGACAATTCAGAAAAGCAAAATATCCAATATGTGTGAAATGTGTTTATCCTAACCCTAATGAATGACATGCAAATGTGAACAACAATGCAGTTGTTTCCTATGAAAGATTTGTTTTACCGTTGTTTTTTATCAACTTTTAGGTTGTTTCCAGTTTTTTTTAATTGTTATTATTACAAATAATGCTGCAGAAAATACCCTTATAGATTCAATTTCTGCACACATGCTAGTATTTCAATAGAATACATTCAGAGTAGAAATTGTTGGGTCACTATTTTTTACTGTGGACAAACACTACCTTATCTCAAACCAAGCTCTTAGGACACTCAATTTTCTCTGCCCTCATCAGGAAATGCTGAGGTCTTAGGGTGTCTGACACCATGGGGTCAGACAAAGGTAGTAACCTTTTGTTCATAAAGTTTTGCAAGTACGAAAGACAGTAGCTAACACTAGTTTACAGAGTATTTACTGTAGCACTGTCTTAAATGCTTTTACTTCCACAATCTAATCTTTACACTATTAGGTAGGTTCTTTTATCCTCATTTAACAGATGAGGTTACGAGGGTTACCAGTTAGACCTTCCTTGATTCTGAGGTCATCTACCAAGTCAGGCCTTCAGAGTGGGACCCTGACTTTCTATCTTATAAATTCACAGACGTCTCGACATGCCCTAATAACGTTATCCACAGTTGTGGCTCCGAACCAGTTACGTACAAGCAGGGTGCAGCCCTCACCTCGGGAGAGAAGGCTGCCACAGCCAGTGGTGGGTAGGGCTGTGCCGTCTCACAGGCGGTGTTGGAATGAAGGGAAAGATGGAGAAACCATGTGGAGTGTTTTGCAAATCACTTAGTTTTTTATAGTGTTTAAAAGTATTTTCTGTCATTGGAAAATATTGTAAATACCATCCAGTTTATAGTTTTCTGAAGATTACATTACCAAATATACAGTAAAATTAATCACATGGTCAATTATGAACATAAAACATCATATAAAAAGATGATGAGTTCAAGAACAAAATAATTTTTTTTAACCTACTGTATGGTAAAGTATTTCCCTGGGAAACTGCCTACTTTTTCAATGTTTAATGCTGGTGTTTCTTTTCTGTAGAACACATATTAAATTCTTTCTAAAGTGATTTCTGAAGCAGACATAATGAGACATTTTTCTCTTTTTCTAGGTGGAGGTAAAGCCATATGTGCTAGATGACCAGATGTGTGATGAATGCCAGGGCGCACGCTGTGGTGGAAAATTTGCTCCCTTTTTTTGTGCCAATGTCACTTGCCTGCAGTATTACTGTGAGTTTTGTTGGGCAAATATCCACTCTCGTGCAGGACGTGAGTTCCATAAGCCATTGGTAAAGGAAGGTGCCGATCGGCCACGTCAGATCCACTTCCGCTGGAACTAAGAATGGCAAACCTGCCTCTATTTAACAAGGAAAGAAAGGCTGCATGTGGCTCACTGTGTCTGAAGATACTGACATGCAGAAGAAATAAGTGCATTCTTCTGCTTTCACCCAGCTCTCAATACATGCATCTATCAGCAGCCAAAACACTACAAGCCTCTTGTTTTTCACCAAAACCCTACATCTCAGGCTTACTAATTTTTGTGATATTTTCATGTTAAAATAAAATGTTTTTTTGTATTTTCTCCAAGTTATTTTTATATGTAAAGTTAAAATTAGATATGAGAATGTTTTGCGTAGGGGCAAACAGTCTGCTGCTATATAGTGGGTGAAGCGTGCACTTATTTCTAAACGTGGGTTTTTAACTTCAAGATCTGCCCCAGTAATTTACCAAAGGTAGCAAAATAATAGTGAAGATGGAATATGTCTGCTACAAATGCTTATTTTTATTGTTGCTATTTTCAGTGTATACATAAACTAAAATTAGGGTTGATTTTTTTGCTCTCCATTTTGACTTGCAAGAAATAATACCTCAAGATAATCTGATTTATTAGCTATTTTTAAACATTTTTAATCACAAGCTGTATTAGCTTTGCTGCTATATAGGTGTTATGTGTAAATGCCACCTATTAATACGGGATTGAAAACGTTAGAGACACACTGCATTGCAGATAAAATGCAGGCAGCACAATATGGCCTAAACTGCCATAGTTTTAGAATGTGAAAAAAATGCATGTTTACTTACCTGTATACACCATATGCATGCACTAGAATTATTAACTAACAAGGTGAGGTATTGCAAATGTTCAAAAAAAAAGCTCTCTTGAATCTAGGTAGCATGAACAAATTATAAAATTTGTTTAAAAAAGCAAACTTTGCATGCATTATTGTGACTTCGAGTTTAAAAATTGTCCTACATGTGTACAATATGCAAATTAGTTTTAGATTAGAGAGTGCAGCCATTTTGTGATCTGGTCGGTAGTGGAATTCGATTTTATGCAGACTGGATGTAATATTTGTAATCTCTGTGCAATTTTGTGATGTGCGGTTCTAATTCATGTGCAGTGATATAGTATAGATAAAAAATTGAATGAAAGAGAAATATTAGAATTTTAAAGAAAGTTGATTTTAACCCCTTTGATAGTTCATGGTTAAGACATCCTTTATAAACCAAAGATGGCCAGCACACTGCTAACCAGTCACCAAATGTAAGACCCACAAGAAGCAAATATTTAAACAAGTGAACTTTATATAAGAATGCAAAACTTTAGTAAACCTAAATAAAGTCAAAATGGAGATGGGGAAATATACAGATGGCTAGTTGCATAAAATTCGATTTTACCTTAAAGACAATGGTGAAATCTGGCTTGAACTTGCTTACTTGTTTGACCTATGTATATTGGGGTCTTCTGTCTAAACTGGGGTCACTGTTGCATGGAACATTATTGTTCTTAACGGTTAGAAATTGCTTTTTTTTTTTTTTTAATATTGATGAAGGAATTTTGGTAGTGACTTTGCTTGCAGTTTTTGGGAAAGTGGCAACATGCACAGTTCATGCGTCCTCTCGGTACTGAACACTGTTAGAATTCATTAGGGATATGTTTTCTCTTTAGAGCATTTTTAATGCAACCAGCTCCTATATTTTAATGTAAGAGTTACTCTGCAATCTAAGCAAAGCACCAACAGTGGTAAACGTTTTTTTTTAAATGCAGAACTAAGATTCTTGACTCTAAAGAGAGAAAATTACATGGGTATTGTCTTAGAACAACCCCTCGGGACAATCCTTCATGTGAGCAAAGTGTTGATCTTAACATTGGTTGTCTATGGTGTGCTTTTTGTACTGTAAAATACGTGGTTCATGTCTAACTGCTGTTTTATTGTGGTTGTGGTTCAAGTTTTTAATGTTTAAAGTTGATGCTGTTTTCAGAAGAGCTTTTTACTAATTTATTTGTCGATGTTCCCTATTTGTTACTTAACCATGATCCTCCAGATTTTTGGAGTATTCTTTTCTAACCTTAACCCTGCCAACCTTGATCCATTTGACATTTGTTATGCACTATTTTTATATCTCTGTGAGAGATTTTTCCAACAGTCAGCTATTTTATGGCACACTTTTTTTGACTGATGACATCTCCTTTGCTATACCTCAATTTTTGGAATTTAGAAAAGAAATCAGTAGTTTTGCAATGTTAATTATTTAGATATTTAATTTCGCAGATTTTTAAACTTTATTTTCATAATTTCTGCTTAATGTTTAAAATTGAAGAGCTTTTTCATGTATTGAATAATGAACACTAAAATAAATTATATGATGAAAATAATTGGAGATGTTGAAAATCACTTTCCCTTCTTAAACAGAAATAAATATTGGGAGTGAAGGGAAATGTAACAGAACACCCTCTTCGCCACGGGTAAAAATGACAGAAATGTGTGGTTTATTTTACCTTCATTTCTGTTACAATTGGAGCTTATTAGTCTAATATTTTGTTCCTTCCCTCCCTCACCCCTACCCCTTTTTCTTTTTTTTATTTTTGCCTTTTATGTACTACATTCTTATTTTCTAACTGTTGAACACTGTATTGGAGTTTTTTTTTTTATTTACAGATCATATTTATTTTACTATTTTTGTAGAAAATTATTAATTTTGATTGTATTTTTGTATTTTCAAAGCTTCTTCACCTATGTTCTCTAAATGTTCTTATTGCTGCCCAAAAGTATGACTGTGGAGGAAAAAAAAATACTTTAAAAATCCACACTTTTTGTTAAGAAGGAAACATTTAGCATTTATATATTTGTGTATGGAAAACACTTGATATTTTATCCCTGTTGCATCTGGCTGCACAGAGCCTCTCCTCAAAGATGCTACAAAACTTGAATATAACACATTTTGGAAGGCTGACTAACCTCGATTCTGTGTTGTGATGTGCAATACTGTTTCTAATGTTTGTATAAAAAAAAAATAACAGTGTAAACCTTTTTAATGCAAATTTATTTTTTTCATTGCATATTTTGCAGATTTTATCCACAGTGTCATTTTTTACTGTCAGAAAAGATACCCCTTTTGTCATTGCAACTATTTTTTAAATCCAGAAATCTTTGTACTGATGTAAATGATTGTAGTTATTTTGGATAGTGTTTTGCTAACAAAAGGAGAGACTTTTTTCATGCATATTTCTATTTTGTTTTTTTGGGTTTTATTTTATTTTAATAGTAGTAAAATACTTGGAATAATTTTTCATATTCTTGTCATTAATATTATTTTGTATTTTTATGTGGAAATATATAATTTTATGACACTAATTGCTAAAGTTTATTTTATGTTGAATTATTTTTGGAGCTGAAATCTTTGTAATATTAAAGCAACTAGTTTCTAATTCCCAGTTTCTGTATAGAATCGCACAAGTGGTTTATGGAGTGTTTGGATTGTAATTATAAATGGTTCTTTGATATGCAAATTAATATTTTCAGTTGATTTTATTTTATATTCCTAATGGGGTGTTAAAGCCGTTTTTTATTTTTTTCTAAATAAAAAGAGAACCCATGCTTTTATGGACACTAGGTAAACGCCTTCAGCTTAAATTTTTGGGTTAAAATATTTTAGTTTATTTTATTGTTATCTTCCAGGTGTCTAAATCTCCAGTCTGTCTGTTGTACTGGTAATTTAACTCTGTAATGGAATAGTTTGCTGCCAACTATTTATATTAAGTAATTTTTAAATATTTGTAATATTGTTGACTGACTAATAAACTATTAAGTTATTGGCATAGCTGTGGAATCTTATTTTTCACTTCAAATCTATCAAAATATCCATTGACACCAGTAAGAGAATTTAGTGACACGAATGTATATACTGTGAAGCCACGGCCAATCTGGCCAAATACATTCAGAACAAGTATTGGGAGGGAGTGTGGAGATGGTCCAGTCAGTATTTTTGCCCAAATGACCCTGTGCATCCAACCTCTCACACCCACCCTCAGCCCCCACATTCGTACCCTAGAAAGTTGGGTGTTGCAGTCAGTACAGATCCTCAGTGTGACCATATCTAAATTGGTGCTGTACTCAAAAACATGAAAAACTGCGGACCATTTTACTAAATGCACCATTTCCATGATGCTTCCTCAGATACCCTCTAGTTAGAACCCACCTGTCTTGTACTTTGTCTGCTTGTTTTGTGCACAACCTGTGAGTTCTTCGGTGACCACACGGCAGAGAGAGGAAGAGGTACAGCATAAGCAACCTGTGATTCAGGCTCCTCACGCTAATTATGACCAGAACAGCTCTACGTTTAACTTGAACCAGGTTGGAGTTCTACTTAAACATTGTGTGCACGCATGTGGCGGAGGAAGGAAAGAATGGCATTGCTTTCTTAGAAAATGTTTGAGGAGTCAGTGATCATAACCAACTTTTTGTTTTACCTATAGGAACGTGGTTATCCCAAAGAAGGTGAAGCAGTATTTCCTCATATTCTGTAAGACATCACTGAAACTCCATGAATTGGCATTATCAGCCCCTCATATCCTTCTACTACTATCACCCATGTCCTCTAAGAAAAGTATGCATTTCACACATCTGTGTTCGGCATATGCTGCCATTTTTCTATTTGAGATCTTTCTTTTTGCCAAACAAATCCCTTCCATAGCAAAAACCAAAAGACTCCTTTCTCTGCATTCTGGCTTATTTGTAACTTGGCAAGAATTTCACATTGTCTTGACTCTTACCCCTGCTGCTGGCTTAAAGATCATTTCTCTTCCTGGGCTCCCCTATCCCTTTTTTATTTAAGAAAAGAATAAACTGAATACTGACCAAGTGTAGGGCAATAAGCATACGGAATCCTTGGTTACCAGGCCATTTCATAACCTGATAGGTGAAAAGTCAGGCTCACTCAAGCTCAACGAAATAGACAATAGAAGCTAAACTATATTATAGGAATTGTGTATCAAGTGTGATCAGAAGGGCTTTCTACTGAAAGGATTTAATTTCTTTGAAATGATTTCTTGTATTAACAATTCACATTGGAGTTAGCATTTGACTTGAATTTTTGCATGAGCAAAAATTGAAAAGAACTCAAAGTTTAGCACTCAAACCATTTCTGAGAGAATTACTTGAAGATCTGTTCCACCAAAAGGAAGAGATGAAATATCCAGGAAACAGGAACACATGTGATATTGTGATTTGTAATAAAAATGCATATTTAGTTCTCATTTATGGCACACAGCTTCTATAACCATGGGAATTTTCTGAGTGATAGGAGCAATAAAGGTATCTTGATATTTATAACAAACCCCTTTCAACCATGCTTGAATTTACATTAATGAGGGGGCTTCTGGAAATCACCTAAGAATAGCGGCAAGTTGCCACGGAAACCAACCTTGGGTGATTAGAAGGTTGGAAATTTCAGCCCCCCTCCCCCATACACACACACCATCCACCTCTGCATTCTGTCCCCCATGACCCCCAGGGAGGGGAAGAAGCTTTAGTTTGAATCTCTCTCCAGTGGCCAATGATTTATTTAATCATGACTGTGTAATGAAGTCTCAATAAAAACCCAGAGTTTGAACATAAGGGTGTACAACTAGAGGACAAGGAAGGTTTGTGCCGCTTCCCCCCTACCTTGCCCTACACATCTCTTCCATCTGGCTGTTCCTGAGTTATATTCTTTTATAATTAGCTGATGACCTAGTAAGTAACATGTTTCTCTTGAGTTCTGTGAGCCACTCTAGCAAATTAGTCAAACCCAAAGAGGGAGCCCTTGGAGCCTCTAACTAGAGCTGACTGGTCAGACGCACCTGGACTTGTGATTGGCATCTGAAAAGGGGAAACAGTCTTGCAGGACTGAGCCCTTCTGTGGGATCTGATGCTATGTCCTGGTAGGTAGTGTCAGAACTGAGCTGAACTGTAGAACATCCAGCTGGTGTTGGAAAATGGTAGTGGGGTTTTGGAGAAACTCATGGTGTGATTGGCGTTAGAATTATAACAGGGTATGAGCCCTTCAATAAATGTATTAAGACACCCATTCAGAATTGGTAAACTAGAGAAATTTCATGCCTTAGACATACCCAAAGACCAAATCTTACTGGTCTTGTGTGTATGTCTCTTTTTGACCTTTAGAGAACATGGTATTTATATGCAAGGTAGTTCATTCAGATAAATGCCATCTCCTGTTTTATAATCACTGTAAAATATTTGCACCAAGCCAAGTAAATAATTGGTTAATATTAACCTCGGTAGTATCAATATTTTTAACCCTCTCTACCAGCTGATGACCCATTTACTATATCCTGGCCTTCAGAAACACGTCCTCCCTCCTTCTCTAGACCAGGGTTCATGCAACAGCCAAGCTGCTGTCAGGTTGCGTTAGCAAACAGCCAGGCAGGTAGGACAGCCAGTATCATCGTGCTGCATTCCCCTTCCCACAAGTTGTTTCACATTTTAATGTTTATTGCTCTCTGTACTGTATGTTAACTTTCCCAGTAAGCATTAGCTTGTTTTGTCTTCTTTTTTCTCTTTTTTTATAAAGGTGTGAAATTCACATGTTTTAAAGATATAGATTAGTCCGGTCAGTGTGGTTCAGTGGTTGAGCGTCAGCCCATGCACCAAGAGGTCACCGGTTCGGTTGCCAATCAGGGCACATGCCCAGGTTGTGGGCCAAATCCCCAGTGGGGGTATGCAGGAGGCAGCCAGTCAGTGTTCTCTCTCATCGATGTTTCTCTCTCCCTCTCCCTTCCTCTCTCTCTAAAATCAATAAAGGGAAAAACTCTTTTTTAATAAAAAAACAAACAAAAAGTAAAAATATAGCTTAGTGATTTGGGTAACTGTACAATCATAACCACCATTACAATCAAGACACATTTCCCTGGCTCTAAAACGTTCCTTTGGGCCTAACATTCACCCTGCACCACACCCCCGGCCTCTGGCAACCACTGGCAGGTCTTAGACTGTAGTTCTGCCTTTGCCAAAGTTTCATGTAATTGGAGTCGTAAGGTACATAATATTTTGTTTGTCTTTTTCACTCAGAGTTGGGGTTTTAGAAATTTCTTCTATGTCCTTCTCGTTGAACTTCAGATCAGTGTTCATGCTACGCGATGCGTTTGCCCACTCCTCAGTTGAGGGACCTTTGGGTTTCCTTCAGTTTGGGGCTATCATGAAAAAGTCCACAAATTTTTATAGGAATGTATGTTTTCATTTCTGTTGAATAAATACCTACAAGTGAAACTGCTGAGTCATATGATCAACGTATGTAACTTTACAAGGTATTGCCATACACCCTGTGTTCTTTTCCAAAGTGGCTGGACTAGTTTGCTAGCAATGTATGACAGTGCTCTGGTCACTGCACACGCTCAGACCTTTGGGATTGTTGACTTTTTTATTGTAGTGGTTCTTGTGGATGCAAAGTATTATCCATCTCACCATGGTTTTAATTTGCATTTGTTTACGTCTGGTGATGTTGGGTATCTTTTCGTGTGCTTATTGCTATTCATACCTTCTTCTAAGAAGTGTCTGTTCATGTCTTGTGTCTAGTTGGTTTTTTTAAACCTGTGCTGTCATATTAATAGTCATAGTCATGAGTGTTCTTTTTTTTTTTTTTTTTGGTACATGCCCCTAAGCGGGAACAGAACCCGGGACTCTCTGGTCTGCAGGCCAACGCTCCAACCGCTGAACCAAACTGGCCAAGGCGCATGAATATTCTTTATATACTCTGAATTTAAGCAGTTTGTTGAGCATATATATGTTTAACAAACACTTTTCTCCTTTTCTGGATATGTTCACAGCAAAAATGTGACTTGCCTCCTTATGTTATTTTTTTATTTTTTATTTTTTTGGTACGTGCCCCTAGCAGGAATTGAACCCAGGACTCTCTGGTCCACAGGCCGACACTCCAACCGCTGAGCCAAACCGGCCAGGGTACCTTCTTGTGTTCTTAACTGTGTTTTTCAAAGAGTAACCATTTTAAATCTTGATGAATTTTATTTTATCAGTTTTCTTTTTTTTTCTTAAAGATTTTTTAATGATGTTTAGAAAGAAAGAAAGGGAGAAGGAGAGAGAGAAACATTGATGTGTGAGCAGAACATAGGTTGGCTGCCTCCTGCCCGCCCCCTCCAGGAATGGAGCCTGTAACCCAGGCATGTGCCCTGACTGGGAATCAAACCTGCCACCTTTTGGTGCACTGGCTGATGCCCAACAAACTGAGCCAAACCAGCCAGGGTTATCATTTTTTCCTCTTAGAGTTTCTATTATTGGTGTTTTATGCAAGAAATCTGTGTTTCATCCAATGTCGGAACGATTTTCTTGTACGCTGTCTTCTAGGGCTTAATAGTTCTTACATTTAGGTCTACGATTAATTTAAATTATGTATGTTGGGAAGTAAGGTTCAAATTGTTTTTGTTTTTTTATATAGATATCCAGTTAGTCCAACACTGTTGAAAAGACTATCTTTCCAACTAAATTACCTTGGCATCTTCGTCAAAAATAAATTGATCATATAAATGGAGGTCTGTTTTTGGACTCTCATTCTGATCCATTGATCGATATGTCCTCACATCAATACCCCACAGTCTGGATTACTGTTCGACTTGCATTTGCAGAACAAGAGCTGCTAAATCCGCTTGTCATTTAACAACTGCTTCAGATTCTAGCATAGCTAGCGATCTACCTGAACACGTCCATCTTCTGGTCTTCCAGAAGACCAGCAGAGAACAGCATGGCTGAAAAGAATGCGTCATCCATAGACAGAGAAGGAAGGGTGTCAATGCTTTGAAGTCAGTGACAGCACACAACACTTAGAAGCAATTGCCATGCCAACAAATGCTGTTAAGCCTACATATCGCACTCAGTTCCCAGTAAGCAACAGCTATGCAGAACACTAAGTTCAGGGGTTGATAAAGCAAGGCTTTCCAACCACTTCTGGATTGGGGCTAAGGTCCACTCCAGGCAACACTAATCAAGCCTACAGTATTTTTACGGAGAGTTTTAGCATAAAGCTGTATTGCAGTTCAACTTCAACATGTTTATCAAGCACGGAATAGTGGATATAAAGAGTAGAATGATCAATTAGATAGATAGATAGATAGATAGATAGATAGATAGATAGATAGATAGACAGAATGGAGATTTGAATGTTTAAAAGACAAGGTCAATTCTAGTAACTGACCGATAATTTCAATGGCGTGTTAGTAAGGGTAAGATGTATGCAATGAGCCACCGGAGCAGAGAGCAAGAGAAGCAGCCAACCTAATGAGTTAAAGAATATTTCCTGGAAGAGATGAAAACAGATTCAGCATGAAGGACATGTAAGACTTAACTACAAGAAAAGAGGTGAGAGAAATATTTCAAGGAGAGGTAAGAGTCTCAGCGAAGAGCTCAGAACAGCCTACTGAGAGCATCTCTGGGGCAAACTACAAAGCTGGTCATGGCAGACAGTGAGGCTGGGGGGGTCTCACTGTGCCAGTTTATGGGAGTATTCAAGACCCAGCTTCATTGCTATTCCCTCCAGGAAGCCTCCTTTGAATTAGCTTCCTCTCTACCCACACACACCCAAGCTGAGGTCCAACATTTTCTCTTCTTCTTATCCTCAGTGGTTTGAAGTTTCTTGATGCCCAAATTGTGGCCTGTGTCTGCATCACTACTGTGAGACCCATGTGGGCAGCAATGATGGCTATATCCTTGGCATTCAGGACAGTGCCCAGATCCAGTAGAATCATGAAATGTGCTTATAATGCTAATCCAGTTTGTCGAGAAAGCAACCATTTCACAAATACATGTTCACTTGCTGTTGTTCCTGGAGAATTGAGTGGATAGAATTTCTCTGTCACTAGTGGGAGTGGGGTTCTTGCAATATCTTGAGAAAAAGGATTTTCTAAGACTTGCATGGGAGAACAAGTAATTTTTATTTGCTTAGAGTTACATCCCTCAGTTTGTAAAGTCTCAGTTTCCTTAAACCAGTCCTGGAAAATATGCAGCTGTGGATTCAATAGAGCTAGAAGCAGGGCCAATGTCCAGAGTTTCCTTTCCATGGTGGAGCTGAGTCCATCAGAGCATCAGGCTAGATTCAGTCCATTAGTCCATTGTCCGGGTCCCACATGGCTGTGAGCCACATGGGTGAAGTGGGGGAGCATGCCCCCTGCAACAGGAGCCCCAAGAGAGCAAGAGGGCCAAAAGCCAAGAGAGGGAACTCCCTTGTTCAGGAGTTCAGATATCTTAGACTTTGCACCCTTGCAGTGGCCACACCTGTTCTGGCCAATTGCCTGTCTCCAGTGTGATTGACAGTTAAGCTTCTTCCCATGTCACCCAGACTTTACTGGGCATGCATCTTGTCCAGTCCCTCCCCCCAGCAATCTGTGGGAAATAGACCTAGAGAGTTTTAACTGCAGCTTCCTGGCAAAGCTGTACAAATGGCATGCCTATACTATCTAGCCTCCTCTTTGCTCCTTTTCTGTTAAATAATAACCAGGTTACTATAATGCTATCACTGTGTTCCAGAGAATTATCAGATCAGGTTTGAGGAAGGAGTTGAGCAGGTATTAGTGAAAGTTAAGAGACATGAGTTCTATCCCTAGTGGTACCCTCTTATTTTATTATTTCAGCGCTCTCTCAGATGCTTGCCTGAGATTGAAGAAGAAACTTACTGTGTCTGTATCTGGGCACCAAATGGCAGGCACAGGGTAATGACATCAAGACACAAACAGTAACATGGTAAGTTATGGGGACTCTGTCTCTATCATGATTCAAAAGAGTACAATTCTCTACAACTCTGGATCCAGCTTCAGCAAGAACAAGCTTCAAGTTAGACGTCTATTAGCATCTAGAACAACACACGTTTGTCTAATTTGGAACTCTAAGTAAATTTTAATCAGAAACAAGAGACCACCTGAGATTTTTAGAAAATACACCCTTGAACACTTGATAATGTTTTAAGGTCCATTTGAAAAGTATTTTCTACCGAACAGTGAAGTTGGGTCTTGCACCCACCTGCTCACCCAGTCACCCTGAGCCGAGTCCTTGCCAGGTAAGGAAAGCCATTGGTTGAGTCAGACATTGTTAGTGATACAAATGCAATAGTCCATTTCCCAGAGACAGAACCAGCAGGCCTTAACAGAGACAAGAGAAGATTTACGATGGAAATTGGCTCCCAGGATTATCTGCCACAGTCTGCCAGCAAGCTGGATGACCAGGGAAGCCAGGGCTGCCATTCCCTCCAAGTCCGAAGTCCTGAGAACCGGGTGCTCCAATGTCCGAGGGGGGGAGAGAAGGGACGTCTGAAAGTGGTTGGCATTTCTCCTGCAGTGTGACTTCCTCACGTAAACCAGATACGCCGCGGGGCATGGATGGGGGGGATTGGGTTTGCATGTGGCAGGCTGTTCTTGGTTCAAGTGCAGTCAGGCAGTTTGGTCATAAAGGTAAAATGCTGTTTCTCATGTGGCCCAGCCGTCTTGTGTGGATGTCTCTGTTTCTCAGGACCGTGTCAGGCTCGCTCTTCCTCTGGGCCTTCGCATTAGCTGTTCCCTCTGCCTGCAATGCTGTTCCCACAGGTGACTTCGCAGTCTTAGGCTCTCAGCTCCCATCAGGCCTCCCGTGTCCACACATCGAAAGTGCGTCCCTCCTTTAGCCTCCATTGCAGTGGCCTGACTAGTTCAAGGACTCTAGCTCACATGTCCCGCCCTCCCTCTCAGTCCCAGCCGAGGTTTCGGTGAATACTCCACGCAGGTTCGGACCTGCTTCAGGCTGACAGCATCTCCACTCACGTGCCTGCTGTTCTGCCCTTGTGTTTTGCCCCAGGTCATCTCTGTTTCCTGTGACAGCCTGCTCCACACCCATCCAAGAGAAGCACAAACATGTGAGGGCAATTCACAGCCATGGGGCAACCGTCCCTGGAGACTCCAGAGGATGCTGACTTGCGCCTCCCTGGCCCCCTCTGGTGGGAAACGCTGAGGAATATGCATTTCTTTTTCAGAACCACAGAGTGAGCGGAGGAAACCCCAGCTGTTCACTGTAAGAGCCAACTCTGAGGTCCTTACAGAGACTTGCTTCCTCCCTTATTTTATTCTCCTCCGTCCTTCACTTCTTCCTACTGTCACTTCCAAAATAAACCACCTGCACATAAGCACCGTTCTTGGACTCTGCTTTGGGGGAATCTGGAGCCAGACACCCCCTGACCTCACTGAAACCAACCAGAAGTCAGAGGGCCAGGAAGCCCCGAGCAGTTCATAGTCAGCCCTTCAGCCACAGCGCCAGGCGAGGAGGGCGGAGGGGGGATCTGGATGCCAGTGGAAAACAAAACCGAGGCTTCCTGAAAGTTTATTACCTCCTGTCTTAGGACCAAAGACATCACTCTCATGCAACATGACATGTTCTCATACAAATCTCTAATTCAATGGCTTATAAAGGCTGCTATAAGAGAAGTATATGTCCACCTGGCTCGTGGACAAAGGACTTTCGTTCAAAACGCGTTGCTTGACGTTGTAGCAGGCTGCTTATGGAGCAGAATTGAGCAGAACAGAGTCACAACTCAGCGGTAAGGTTCTCAAGCGCTCTCAGCCCTCAGAAAGGAGATCCTCGGGCAGGACTTCAGAATGCTCCCAGTCCCAAGTCAGGGCACACGGTCCTGCTAACGGAACAGAGACACCACGCTCTGTGCGGCGAGGGAAGCAGCTTATCGAGATGCATTCAAGGCTTTGCAAGGAATATGCCTCCAAACAGGCCCACGAACACAGACTCTCCGTCAGCCAGCAGGACGCTCCGCCAGGCAACGGTGCAGAAGAGACTTTTCAGAACAGAGCTGTGGTGTGGGGGCAGGGCGTGGCTTGGGGAGAGGTGCGTAGGCTGAAGTCTCCACAAAAATGTGCTAAAGTGAAGAGAGATGCAACGTGGAGAAACCCGAAACGGAATGCGACCCTTGGATTCAGCTCTCCAGTGGCCGGACCTAAACAGGCCCTTTGTTCGATAGTTGGCATGCTGTTCCAAGGCAGCAATGGTCCATTTCGGGGTGACATACGACACCGTCAGGGAAGCTGGACTTGGAAGAAGCAGGAGCAGCCCGTGCAGGAGAAGCAGAGTGATGGAGTGTTCTTTCCCTGGGCAAGGCGGTCCCTGCACACCGGGATGCTTCTCCCAAACAAAGGTCCTTTGGAAAAGAAAGAGCAGCTCCCAGCTCTTCGTGGTTATGAGCACGCTCTCTCGTGTACAAGGGAGTGTGAGCAGTTGGCTCCTCTTAGATGTCAGATGACTGTGTTCATCTGGTTTTGTGTTGTGACGTAACTGGGTAAGGAGCCAGGTACCAAGAACAGAACATTTATTTGGAGCCAGAAAGACTGGGAATGAACCTCAGTTCTAATAACGATAACATCAGCTCTGCTCATAATCTCATTACTCCTCAGAGCAACTCCACGAGGTGGGCCGTAACATTACCCCCATTCCACAGATGTCTAGACTGAGGCACAGAGAACAGAGTAGGGACCTTGAGGTTACAAAGCTGGCAGGTGTCAGATCTGCGATTCTGACTCAAGCCTGTCAGACCCTCAGTCAGGATGGGACCTCAGCTGAGGGACCTCAGCAAATTCACTTCCTCCTTCCGAAGGCCGTTTTCAAATATTTTCAACATACCTAATGGTGCTCATAAGACTTAGACGAGGAACACATGAATGCATTCAACCAGCATTTCTGCAGAACTGATGCTGTTCACTCAGGACAATGTGTATGAAAGAGAAATTGCCCAGAACAATGTCTGGTGCATAGATGTGTTTATTTAGTTGAATAGGAAAGTGAATATGTCATTTTTTTGTCCCCTTCATTCCCAAATGCCCAACTTCCATTTCAGAGAACCCCCTCATTGAGTGTGGAGTTGCCCGAAACGGAATGCGACCCACTTCCCACTACAGAAGTCGGTTGGGACAGACCCTCTCTCTCTCTCTGCAGCACATACCAACCCCCCCACCCCCGCCACCAGTCAGTGGCAGGTGCATGACAAGCTGGGCGAGCCAGCCCCACCCTTGGACAGCTGACGTCTCCTTATGGTCCTTGTGGCCAAGGCACAGAGGCCAGGCCACAGCGCTGCCTGCCTGTCCAGTTCCTGCTCTCACCCCCTTCCCAGCCTCGGCCAGGTCTCGGGGCTGCTGGTGCCCTGCCTCCATCAGTGCGGGGGCACCTCTCACTTGGACTCGGAGCAACAGCCTCTGCCCTTCTCTCGCTGCTTCTACTCTTGCCTGCCCTACAGTCAACTTTCCAGCCAGCATTTAGAAATTAAACCAGGTCACTTTCTGGCTAAGGACTGTCCCTGGCCCCATGTGCTTGGAGTAACTCCGCACCGCTCCCCACGCCTTGGGCTGTCCTGGCTGGTGACCTTATTCCCTAGCACGCCCGCCCACCCCGCTCCGGCTACGTGGTGTGTGTGTCTTCAGGACTCGTGGAACGTCCCGTTGGCCAGGCACCTCCGCCCGCGGCCTGCGCGCCCTCATTCAGGTCTGGGCTCACACAGTGTCTTCTCAGCAAGCTTTGGCCGGGCAGTGGTAGTGAAAGTAGCGCTTCACCTACTACATGGTCTCCTTCCTCTTTCTTTGTAGTGTGTTTTCTTACCTGAAGTTCCATTCCTTCTTTGTTTCCACTTACTCGTTTCCCTCTCTAGTGTAGGCTCTACAGGGCATGGGTTTTATCTTGATTTTTCTCTGGGGCCTAGAACTGTGCCTGAGATGATAGATGATGATGATAGATAGATAGATAGATGATAGATAGATAGATTTTATGATTAAGTGAAATAATCAATATAAAGTACTGAATCAGCCCTGGCTGGTTTTGCTCAGCAGTCAGAGCGTCGGTCTGAGGTCCAGAGAGACCCGGGTTCAGTTCCCACTAAGGGCACGTACCTCGGTTGCAGTTTGTCCCCGGCCCTGGTTGGGTCGTGCGGGTCGATGTGTCCCTTTCATGTCGATGTTTCTCTCTCTCTCTCTTCCTCCCACTCTATCTGAACAAAAAATGGAAAAATGTCCTCGGGTGAGGATTAAATAAAAAAAAGTACTGAATCAAAGATTTCACACCAGTGATGATTAACTTTATGTGTAGACTTTACCGGGCCATGGGGTGCCCAGATTTGCTTCAGAATCATTCTGGGTGTGTCTGGGAGGATGTCTCCGTGTAAGATTAGCATTTGAATCTACGCCCTTCCCATGGCGGGTGGGCTTCATCCCACCCACGGGAGGCCTGAACAGAACAAAAGGCAGGAAAAGGGGACATTCTCTGCGTTCAAGCTGGGCCCTGGGCCCTGGGCCCTCCGCTGCAGTCAGACTGGAGCTCACACCCCATCCGCTCTCCTGGTTTTCCGGCCTCCGGACGTGGACGTCACCGCACCTCGGCCTCTCCTGGCGTCCGGTCCACACGCGGGGAGCACAGTGCGCCCCGGCCTCCATTAGCTACAGGGCAGCCCTGCGTAACCAGTCTCCCCGTAGATCTGTTTTGCTGGAGCACCCTGACGAATACAACACCTTTTACATTTTTGGAAGGCAACCACTCCAATTTTTAAAATTATTTGTTCTAGAAGTAGCATCTTCTATACATTGAGAACATCAAAAAAGATTGAACATTTTCCAACACATGTCATGGTTGTTTTTTCAAAGACGTGACTATACTGTGTACAATTTCATATCGTGTTTGTATTAAATTATAGGCCTTTCTCATTGCTCCTGTAGTCTCACAACCATCGTTTTTTAAATACCCGCAAAGAGGAGCGTGCGTGAGCCATAATCGACTTACATTCTCACTACTCTTTTCAAATCTAATTAGTGTCCCTTTTTTTATTATTGCAGTAATACACTCCTGCCTGCGTAAAGCATTTGCTATGTTTAGAATTATTTCCTCAGGATACAATGTCAAAAGTGAGGTCACTGTGTTCATGTACTTATGGCTCTTTTTATAAACTTCCCAAGTGTTTCCTAGAGGGTCCTTCCATTTTATACTCGCCCCGCAGAATAGGACAGTATCCACCATTCACACATTGACCAGCGCAGTGGGTGTGGAGTCATTTTTCAATTTCAGAAGGAGATGACATTGGTGGAGTGGGTGGCACTTGGTAATTCTGCCCGCCAGAGACATTCTTGCAGCCTGTCTCTCACAGCAACATGACATGGGTGCAGGTGGTATGATTCCCCGCTAGGAGTATAATTGAATAACTGTATTTGCAACATTTTCATATACATTCCCAGCAGAAAAGCTTCTGTTTTGACTGGGCATCCATGAGCACTGAGTTCTCCATCGGTGATTTTTACATGGCGAGGTGAAAAGAATTTTGCAAAGATGAACTTCTGGCTCTTACACATTTCACACTTCGTTTCTCCCCCACTACCTCTGCCTGCCCGCCAACAAAAGCATGAGGAGCTGGGGGTGCACGTCAGATCTCCTTCCAGCACGCGGGGGGCCTCAGGTCCTCATCCACAATTCTGAAATCTAGAAAGCTGTGACACCAACGCTTTCCTCCACTCAAACGCGGCAACACCTCACTGAACTGAAGTGGGGGCTGCTTCGGGTCCCTGTTGACCTCAGTATGATTTGCATTTGTGTCTCTGCAGAGGGGGGTTGCCAGCCGCTTGCCTATAGTCTTCCAGCAGTCATGCACACACCTTCCTAACATTCTAAATTCTGAAACAAAACAAAACTCTGGCCCACGAGTGTCAGATAGGAGAGTGCGGACAGGTAGTAAAGGCGAGGAGACACTGTGACACTGTTTAACAGGCACATCAACAAGGTCATTTGCTCAGGGAAAAGTGGTTTTCATCTATCCTGACACCGACGGGTGCACAGCAGTTCCGTTCCGGCACCGAGCACCCAGAATCAGTGCACACCCACAAGTTAAAGGTGCAGCCCCAACAAGACGGGCCGCACTTCAGACACCAGCCTCGAGTGGAGTCTCCAAGCCACCCACACTTCTGACCACCAGGCTATCATCAGGGGTTCCTATGACCCCTGCTAATTTGACAATTTGCTGAAATGACTCAGAGCTCAGGAAGGCGTTCTACGAGTAATTACAGGATAAGGGGTGCATTCAGGAACAGCCAAATGGAGCAAGTGCTGAGAGATCCCGAATGCAGAGCTTCCGTGCCCCTCCCCATGGAACCAGGACACGCCCCTTCCCCAGCACAGCCATGTGTTGGCCACCAGCAAGCTCCAACAAGCTTGGTGCCCAGATTCTACAGTGAGTTCTCATTCTGTAGGCATGATTGACCCAATTGTCATCCACATGATTGAACTCAATCTCCAGCCCCCCTTTCTTTCCCCAGAGTCAGGCTGCCTCAAAGTCTCAGCCCTCAAAGTATGTGGTTGGTCTTTCTGGTGACCTGTCTTATCCTAAAATTATCTAGGGGCCAACCAGGAGTCACTTCATTAACATAAACTCAGGCGTGGTCCATGAGACTCATAAATAACAAAGACACTTTTATCACTTGGGAAATTAGCAGAGTTTTAGAAGCTCTAAGCCAGAAAGCCTGGACAAAGACCAAATGAAGTTTTTATTATATACATCACCGACTCGTGTGTTAAAATCACTATATTGTTCTTCCTTTACCACTGGTGAGTTGGCTGGCTGCCTATGATTAATGTCCCAGGCTCTGATTTCTACTCTTCTGTTGATGTGACACCCAGTAGGAAGAAAGACTTACAGGGTGTTCTCATTGAGTTAGTGCTAACCTCCAATTCCTTTTTTGCTCCTGGGTGGGGATCAGGGAGATTTTTATTTAAATGATATGGACATTTTTGTGAAGATATATAAACATGCACACTTTTTGGTCCAAATTATTGCTTGATACTTTATAATTAACTGCCATTCTGCTTTTAATTTGTATTTTCCTTATGTTTTCAAACTAATAGCTGCTGGCTTAGAGGAACGTCACTGATTTTTATATATGTATCTTCTCTCTGGCTTCTTTACTCATAAACTCTTACTAATTCTAGTGTTTTGATTGATTCATTTGGATTTTTATAAGTGCTAAACCAAATAATCTTTACATAAGAATATCCCTTTCTATACTTACAACACTTATTTCTGTTTAAGCTTTGGGCTGTCCAGGACATGCAGAATACAATTACACAATAGGTGTGACGCTAGGAGCTTGGTTTTATTCTTGACTTCAATGCAGGAACTTCTGGAGTTTCATCATTAAGTAGGACATCAGATGTTTTAGAGCATACTTGTCTTCCTGATGATATGGACTTCAAGTCCTTGCATATGAAGCATTTTTATTATTCATAGATATTACGTTTTATTCATGGTCAT